TTTGTTTGTGTTTTGTTGCGGTAACATTCTCCTTAGCATTTAAGGTGGAGTTTTGCGATTGATAGCGGTCTTACAACCGCCCACTCGCCGTCGCCCGACACGCTAACCGTGCAAAGCGCTCTTCTCCGTGCTGAGACCTGTGTCTTTTGCTTTTCAAGAGACCAGTTCCGTCTTGTTGCGGTTGTTGTTATTCTTGCTTATTCCGGTCCGGTTGAAGACGGGTCTCCTTTGTTTCTTCTTCACGCGTTTGTAGTGCTGCTGGGGTGACGAATGATGAATACGAGCGCAAGGTGCTGCTGGAATCACTCCATTTCACTCTGGAGGGATTCCCAGTCATTGTTGTGCTTCGCCGGCTCGTTATGCAGCCGACTGAGCGCGCTCCCTGCCGGGCATTATCCGAGACGAAGCCTCCACCGAGCCACTCCTTATGCATAATCTACTACGAGTCGCCCCGCTCGGGCGGTCGGCGCGCGCGCCGAGCGGCGCTCCTGGGGGACAGGGAGGCGGCGCTCCAGGGGGACAGGGCGGCGAGTTGCGCGCTCGAGCGGCGCTGCAGGGCACCGGGAGGCTGCGCTCCAGGGGGACAGGAGGCGGCGCTCCAGGGGGACAGGGCGGCGAGTTGCGCGCTCGAACGCGCTGCAGGCGGACAGGGAGGCGACGCTCCAGGGGGACAGGGAGGCAGCGCTCCAGGGGGACAGGGAGGCGGCGCGCCAGGGGACAGGGCGGCGAGTTGCGCGCTTGAGCGGCGCTGCAGGCGGACAGGGAGGCGGCGCTCCAGGAGGACAGGGCAGGTCAGCGCTGGTCCTTCGCGCGGCCATGGTACCGAACGCTACTCGGGGCTGTAGCTGGCGATTCGCTCGCAGTGGCGTGGGTGTAGTTGGCTATGCAGTTATGGGCTGCCCTCTGACGCTGCTTGTTCCCCGGGCTGTGCAGCTAGCTGCGGCCAACCGGCAAACTTCGGCCATGACGTGCATCGGATTCAGGGAAATCTCCGTTCTGAGTCCTGTTTTCGGCCGGTTTACCACACACCGCGCGCTCGCCCCCCAGCCGACGTGTCGAGACTGCAGCGGCGTGCGGCCGGCGGGGAGCCTGTCCCCGCGCGGCACAGTCAGCTCCGATCACTCGCAGCTCCCCCGGCTCGTGTGTCGGGAGGGAGGCGTGCCGGCGCGCGCGCGCCGCTCCGCCGCGTCACCGCCGCCGTGACGCCCGGCGGCGCCTGCTGTCGGCTGACGTTCTCTCCCCGTGCTCCGCCACAGCTGCGGCTGCGGCTGCGGCTGCGGCGTGCCGGGACCCTGCGTCAGACCGCCTGACACGTCCCAACGTGCTCCTGTCCTGCGGGCGGCAGGCAGGTCTGCTGTGAGGCGGGTGACACCGCGCGCGCGGCTACCGGCCGGAGCTCGCAGCGTGGCGATGGAGTGGAAAGTCTGCTCGCAAGGCGACGCCGTACCTAAATTCATGCCTTTCTTTTCGCCGTGTCTTATGCACATTAGCTTGAAGGACTCAGAAGTGTCGACACCAAAAAGAACAGTAGTTTGCATTGTCCTTTGTTTGTTGACACCAAAAAGAACAGTAGTTTGCATTGTCCTTTGTTAAAGTTCGGCGTTGCGTCCTCAGCATGTTCTTCAGGCTGAGTCTCGTTTTATCCATGTCTAACTTGAAAGCTATAAGGTTCACCGTCTAGTAAGTCGTACCGTGCAGCGTTACCGTCAGCGAGATACGTGATTGGCTGACTGGCTGACCGGCTCAGATAAAAGCGTGGTTTCCTGTCGCCTAATCGATAACGTATCTTAAAAGCAACATTTGTCTCCAGTTTGCCGTTAACATTTGTCTCAGATGGCACGCTTACTTTCCTGTCGCGTAACCCATAACATATATATGTATACACGTAATAATATTTGTTTCCAGTTCGCTTTCGCCGGTACTGTTTCAGTTGTCACTTTATCCGCATGATGTTACTGCTGCGCTGTACTCGAAAGAAGTGAGACGACGCGCGCTGTCGATCCTAGAATCCGGCGTGAACACGCACAGTGTAGCTGGCCGTCGGCCCGGCCGGTGTTGACCTCTCAGCGGCGCGGGAGCCCGGCCGGTGTTGGCCTCTCAGCGGCGCGGGAGCCCGGCCGGTGTTGACCTCTCAGCGGCGCGGGAGCCCGGCCGGCCGCGCCGCACCGCCGCCGGACGACGGCTGCCGGCCGCCGCGCGATATACGAGGCGACAGGCCGGGTGGCGGCCGGACGGTAGCTGGCTAGCGGCGGCTCTGGGGCCGCCGCTGCCTGTGGTCGTTTTCCTTGCCTCCACATGCGTCGGTGTTCACATCGGATTTGGTAGCGATCACCAAGGCGTTGTGTTTCATTGAAGTCAGTGACGAACCTTCACATCTGATTTTGACAGACTCTCTTAGCAGTGTTCTTAGTCTTAGGTCTTTTTATCCATCATGTCCCCTCGTACAGGATATTTTAGGACGTTTGACTCAGCTGGATCAGGCCCGAAAGGAAGTTATCTTGTGTTGGATCCCTAGTCACATTGGAATCGCCGGAACGAGGTGGCTGATGCGTCTGCGAGGCGAGCAGTGCTGGCTCGGTGTGAACGCTCCCTCTCTATCCCTGCCAGATATTTTTACCCTGCAATAAAAACCTTTCTGCAGAATGAATGGCAGCGTTGTTGGGATGTAGCAACTGAAAATAAGCTCAGAGCAATAAAACCCAAGCTGGGTCAGTGGTTTTCGTGTTTCCGCAAAATGAGGCGAGAAGAGGTGATCCTCTGCAGACTACGTATCGGACACACGTACGCGGCTCACGGTTATTTGTTGTAAGGAGCCGAAAGACCTGTCTGTCATCGATGTGGTGCTGTTCTCACCGTTCGTCATGTGCTTACATCATGTCCGCGCCTCAGGGAAGAGCGTCGACGAATCTTTGGTCAACGTGACTCACCCTTGACGCTCTGTGACATTTTAGGAGACAACTCGCGCCTTCTTGAATCTAAACAGGTCTTTTTATTCCTTAATCATATCAACTTCGGGACTTTACACGGTTCATTAGTTAGGTAAAACAAAAATCGTTATGGGCGCCAAATGACCGCTGCAGTCGGCGCGCCCGAAAACACCAATCAACAACAACAACAACCTGCGCGGTTGTCCGGCTCCCTGCGCTGACGGACGTGGTGGGCGGAGGACAGTGCGACATTACGCACTTGTCTGCCTGGAAATCCACCGACGTAATTTTTCTGCTAATTCCACCGAAAATCCACCGACTTGCTAATTTTCCTAGTCACGTTTTACGTGGTATTGGTGTTGATGAATACTACGGTTTCGATCCCTTTACTCTGGGCTCACTGATTCAAGGAGTTATCCGTAACCAAACTTTGGCTGGCTGTGCTAACGGCCGGGGCGCGTATGGCGCGGCGTGCTGTCTGCAGCCGCCTAAACCCATAGGCGGCACGGAATGACGCGGAATGGCTTGTGTTGGTCAGCTCGGAGTACCACGTTGCACCTTTGTGCACAACCGTTCCAGCTTGTGCACGGCTGGCGTTGCGTTCAAGCTGTGTCTGTGCCCGACTGTGTCGGCTTCGACGGTCATGTCAGCCGCTGTGGAGCTGTGGACCGTGAATGACAGCATCAGAATCTGCAGCAGTGTGGCTCGGTCCGTTTCAGCTCGGCCAACGCCAAGAAGTGGGAGGTGGAGCTAACGACGCTGAAGACCAATAACGCCCGACTGACGGCGGCCCTGCAGGAGAGCACGGCGAACGTGGAGGAGTGGAAGCTGCAGCTACAGAGCTACAAGGTCAGCCTGGCTACGCCGTCCTTCTTCCTGTCCCTGGCTGTGTTGCGGTTGTATGGCTGTGTCCCCTCGCCCCCTTTGTCCGAATGGTGGTCTGTTCTCCCAGGCTCTATCCACTCATCTCCTCGATTTTTCGTCTTGTTTTGGTTCTGCATCGGTTGTTTCATCCCAAATCCGTCCGTCTGCCGACGTGAGCAGTGAAGCAAACTTGTGACGCACGCGTCTGGGACGGTGCGCCCATCGGACGGGATAGCCGACCTAAGGCGCGAGGGACGTACCTGTCGACTGTGCTGACTCAGCTGTCAGGCCCGGCTGACACACCGTGACCGAGCGACTCCCCCTTCTGATGGGATGACGCGCCGGGCGGCCGCTCGCGCCCCTCGGCGCCGCTGACACTCGGCGCGCCCCGCCGCCGCCGCCGGCAGGAGGAGAACGGCCGCCTGCGGGGCCGCGTGCTGGAGCTGGAGGCCGGCCGCGGCGGCGCCACGGCCGAGCTCTCGCGGGAGCTGCACCAGCTGCGCGCGCGCGCCGACAAGCTGGAGACGGACGGCAAGCGGAAGGACGAGGAGAACCGCAAGCTGGCCGCCTCGCTGGCCGACCCGGCCGCCAAGGCGCAGGCCGATGGTCTCAAGGTGAGAAGTCGGGCGCCGGCCGCCCAGCGGGACGGATGGCGGCGCAACAGACACGCTGGACTGTCGTTCCGGTCCGGCGGCTGGCTGCTTGCCGTTTAGCGGTTTTTGGACGCGGCTGGAGTTCACAAGTGTCCTTTGCTGGCACGTTCAGGTCACTTGGTGCACAGGTTCGTAAAGGTCGGTGCTATTTTCAAGACGTGAAGGACAGGATGTCCGGTCGCTGTGGATGGTCGCTCTAGGCTTCGCCCGCGTGATCCCGTATTGTACCGCTCCACGTGATGCCGTACCGCCCCACGTGACGCCGCCGCGCCCCATCTGACGCGCGCCGCGCCACGCAGGCGCTGGACCAGGAGAACGAGCAGCTGCGCGGGCAGCTGTCGCGACTGCAGGACCAGCTGGAGATGGCGCTCTCGGCGCAGGAGTCGCAGCACAAGGTGCTCGACACGCTCAACATGCAGCTGGGCGACAAGATCGCCGAGCTGCAGGGCATTCACACCGAGCTGCACCAGGCCATACAGACCTAGGGCCGGCGGCCCGCTGGCCGCCTGGCGTGCCTCGCGGCGCCGGTTGTGATTTGAGCACAAGCTCCGTATGTTTTGTTGTGCCGTCGGCCGCGGCACGACGCGCAGCTTAGCGCCAGGGGGGCACAAAGCGTGCGGCCGCCCCGCCGCCGCCGCCGCCGCCGCCGCCGCCCCGGTCTGTGTTCAGACTCGGACGGCGGGCCCGCGGCTACTCTCTCATCAGATCCGAATGTGCAATGTGAACCGGCCCGCGCGCTACGTTTGATCTGCATTTTGACGCGTTTTGTCGGGCGCCGCGGCGCGCCGGTGTAATCTCCGCTGTGCAATCTTAACCGACTGACCGCGACAGCTTGACTCAGGAGGGGCGCGGATGGTCCTCACCGCTTTCGGTGGCGGTGCCGGTCGCGGTCGGGCGCCCGCTTCACCAGCCTTCGCCAACAGCATTCCATATTTATTTGCTCTCGCGCACGCGCGCGCGCGCGCGTGCGCGCTCCGGCGGGGCCGCCGGCCGGCCGCGCGCCATGTGATGTAGTGTGTAGTGCGCGCGGGCCGGGCGTCCTGGATACCTCGGGCGTCGGAGCATCGCCGCGCCGCCGCCGCCGCCGCGTCGCCACCGCCGCCATCGCTGCCATCTCGCCGCTCGACTGGGCGCGGACGCCCGCTGGGCCGCCCGTTTTTACAGGAGTCCTGGCCCGGGGGTCATCTTACCATTGGGGACCAGACGGTTTCATGTTCGTCGTGTGACTAGCTAAGGAGCTCCCCCAACCGTTCGCAGTTTTGTGTATTATAGCTTGGTTATGTGTGTATCAGTTTGTAATATAGCACAAACTCTGCGTACAAAGCGCGGTTCTCGGTGGAGTCGTTTGTTTGTGGGCGGCTGCAGATGCGAGGGACGAGTTGGTTGGTAAGACGATAAACCGCGAAATAGTCCGTCTACCTTTTGACTGGAGGTTATTATAACTTGTTTCTTCTATCGTAGAGCTACAAGGTAATTCATGCATTTGCTATCGTAAGATATCATCCGATTGGCTGGGCCGGTACAGCCGTGTTCAGTTCCTTCCAGTGCTCAGCACCCACGAGGCCCAAGCGGTTTTCGAGGACAGACCTGACCAGGCCAGTGGTCGTCAACAGGACAGGGAAATGCTTAGCTCTGGCAATCGTGTTGGGAAGCCTTCGATCACAGCCCCACTCGGCGGGTGACGTTAATTCGCACGAGTTACCGTGATCAGGGTGAACTGGGTAATCCGACGGTCATCCATCCTCATTCGGCTGTTTGGGCCGATATTACTGACATGAGTAGGGAGACAGGGAGAACAGGGAGGGCATATTACAGGCATGAACAGGGAGACAGGCTCCTGAGAGGCATTAATCATGGATGGTTTTCGCAAAAAAAGTATGGACCGATGTATTACAGCGTCGGGAGTCAAATGGCGGGGGGAGGGGGCGGAGCGGACTGATTGGGGCATTGGATGAGCGCGGAGGGCAGATCTGACTGCTGCAGCTGCAAATAACGGCGGTTCTGCCCCGCCAGCGGTGACGCTGGTGAGGCAGAAACGTTTGCTTCGGTTTCGATATTCGAATATTTGATCGGGTGAGTCAAAATATTTGGATGGGTATGGTCCAGTTCGCACACATTTTCAATTTCATACACCGATGGATTTTTTACTAATTGTATATCACGCAGCATGCTGCCAGTCACGTGCGTTTGCGGATCTGAAACAGCGAGCCTACGAGACGCTTTGAGTACCATGGCATCTTTGTTGCCATGATACTCAAAGTTTTGCCGGTGGCTGCGTCTCTGAAACTTAAGCGCTGTTCAGCACGCCCTTTGGAGGCTCGTTTAACCAGGGATGCACCAGCATACGACGCGGTTGGTTCCCTGACACTTGAACTTACGGTAATCAGTCATGAGTCTCTCTGTCCCTTTGATTTTAGGAATGCTCAATTTGTGGTTGGTTGACCCAAGATTGAGCACTTGGCTGGTCAAAACTAATTCGCGGCTATTTCGACCGGCATTCGTGTACTAATTTCGGTGTCCGACTGTTTATTGAACGTTTATAGTTGATCGTAAAACACATTCTGACTCCAAATCCTCAGATCTTGTCCCAACCAATCTTGGCCCCAAGCCTGCACGGCGCGGCCGAGCCCCGGTCTGCATTATACTGCCGGCAGCGAAACAGTGCTGCCATCTGTGCCGGGTCGCGCCGCCGGCAGCGTCGCCTGTGATAAGTGGCTGGCCTGTGGCGTTCGGTCCACTATGGCGTCCACGGGCAGAACGGTGAGCACCTGGTTGACGAGGCGAGACATCAGCTCGGCCACCTTGGCCTCGAGCTCGGGCCGCACCTCCTGTAGTAGGACGCGGTCGTTCTTGGTCACCAGATGTCGCACCGTCTCGCCTGCCGGGCCCGGGCAGCCGAGGTCAGGGGGAGGAGCGTCAAGTCACAATGGGGCGGGGTTCGTAGAGTGGTGTGCCGCGCAGGTGGAGTGTCTTTCACAGTTCTCAGAATGGGCTGGCCCACCCACTGTTTCAAGAAGCTCGCCTATCAAACCACCTGATGAGTCCAACACCTTCAAATAGCAAACGGATCACCAGCGTTGAATACGAATCTGGGATATACTCTGTAACCGATTTCATCGGTTTAAAGCAGGATACGGGGCAAACATGGGTCTCAGAAAGCCGGAGAGCGGGCCCTGACGTGCGTCTGGGCCGAGGCTCCGATCTACCCGCCGCCATGCAAAATTTGCTCATAGACATGCCGCAGCCAAGAGGTGGGTCATGCTGCCTAAAGGGAGTACGCCATCTGTTTGTACTCTTTGCTTATTGTTAGATCAGATTCCTACGAATTGATCAGTCATGCCAGTTCCGAAAAAGTTTTCGGGTCCGGTTTTTGGCATGGACGCTGCATGTTCCGCATTTGACACGTTTTATCATTCCCACATTGTGAGGATGTGTTTACGTGTGAGTCCCGGTGCCTGCTGTGTGGTATAATCGTGCGATAGGTCATCATTCTTAATGATTCCGTTAGAGGGTGCACTTAAATTACAGGTGCACATTAATCATAATGTAAGTACCTACCTGCAGTTTAAAGAATGACGAAGTCGGATTTTTGTTAAAACTCAGAATGAAGTGATCCAGGCACATTTTTTGCCAGATTAGCGACGAACGCCTCTCCACGTACCTGCGCAGTTAATGAATAAATAATAGACATACCTCGAGCATTTCGCTGTTTCATTAAAACATTCGCCAAGTGGGTAGAAAAAACAGAATGGAAACATTGATAAAATCCGCATGACCAAACGGTACTGTGGATGTGTAAGGACTGCTGTTAGATCAGCCACGTCCGATTTGATCGGTAATACCAGCTCTCTCGAAATCCTACTGAATAGCTCAGAATCTGGATTTGAATAGGCCGCTCCTGCGGGACGCATCTTACTAAACTTTTTGCTCATCACTAGGAAAGTGAAACATTTAATTGCCTTGATTTTTCCAACATGTGTGTTCTGTAATATTTGCAACATACTTAAACAAGTATGCCACCATGAGGCTTCTATTCGGCGAATTTAACGAATCGTTCTAATACGCCTTTGATTTCTCCCCATGGCGTTTGTCACAGTGGCACTTTTCGAGGCGCACTTTGACTTTGAGAATGGGAGTATCACATGGTTCATGGTGACGCACTGGTTCAAACTGCAGCCATTGTGTTTCTCGGTAAGTGGCCCCTGACGCCCGCTGAGCCAATCACAGACGTAATTCATTTGCACAAGTAGAAGTGATGACGGTGGTCGCGACCGCAGTGAAGAGGCGTGGTGGTGTTAAAAGACGTTTGGCAGCGTAATTTGAACTAAAAAATGACATGAATTTGACATTTCTATTATGTCTTGACGGTGCTGCAGTGCCGGTTCCTAGAGCTATCATTAGACCTAACTGGGTCCAATATTTCAATAGAGCGTATTCTTGAAATATGTCCTAAAAGTGGGACACTGCTTAATCCCCTCCCAGTCACGTTCAAGCGCAGTTTTTCGCTACACCGCTGGAGGTATTTCCGGAATCCAGTGACGAGTAAAACTATTTTGGTTTTAAATATAATATTTATCAAAGGGCGTGCGGGTATGGGAACATATAGAGTCTAACAATCGTAGTTCAGTAACAAGACTAGCGGATAGCCGTGAGGATATATACGGTACACATCTGAAACAATTGTTGAAAGCACCGGGGCAAATCAACACCGATAGCTCGTTGATACGCTTGGTACTGCACTGTTAGCTTGTGCCGGGGATTTTGTTAGTCTGTTCACAATGCGAAGGTGTTGCCAATGGGGATGAGACTCGCTTGTAAGAAAGAACCCCACCGTCGCAAATCATGGTAGCCCCCCCTCCCGTCGCAAATTCCGGCTGCACCCCTCCAAAAACAGCTGATCTGTCTCCGGACCAGCGTACCTCTCACGACGCGGCAGAGAACTTATCCCTGTCGCAACCAGGCCACTGAATATAGCCCATGGCCACGGTGGCGTAGCGCTGCAGGATAGAAACGTTAATGTTGCGAAACGGGAGCTTCCCGCCGTCGTACACCGAATGCCACATTTTTCTCTGCATTGACGCAGTAAAATCTCCGCATCATAATCTTCTCGAGAGAAAAAAACAGCGTCTTACATGTGGTGCTTATAACGGCCGCTGTCTGGTGCTAATCGTAACGCAGCAATGCGCTGGCGTGGCTTGGCAAGTTTGAAGCCTGACATGCAAGACCGGTACCTCATGAAAAAGTGTAAGAGCGGTCAAAAAAAGTGTAAGAGCGGTCAAAAAAAGTGTAAGAGCGGTCAAAAACGGGCTTTGCACCTCTCTACCCCATTCTGGGTCGTGTACTTTGACAGCTGGTAAAATGCGGCATGAGTTGCATATAAAACATAAGGTTTGCAGGCCAGGAACATCATCTTTATGAGTGAGACCGAATGACAACGAAATGGAACATTTCCCTTCCGGCCGCAGATGCATGCAATAGCTTAATACTAGAGCACGGTCTATGCCCTGGTACTCTATCTCTCTGTTGCCTTTTCTCTCTCTCTCTTCTCTCTCTCTCCTCCTCTCTCTCTCTCTCTCTCTCTCTCTCCTCTTCTCTTCTCTCTCTCTCCTCTCTCTCTCTCTCTCTCTCTCTCTCTCTCCGCTCTCCTCTCTCTCTCTCTCTCTCTCTCTTCCTCTCTCTCTCTCTCTCTCTCTCTCCTCCTCTCTCTCTCTCTCCCTCTCTCTCTCTCTCTCTCTCTCTCTCTCTCTCTCTCTCCTCTCTCTCTCTCTCTCCTCTCTCTCTCTCTCTCTCTCTCTCTCTCTCTCTCTCTCTCTCTCCCTCTTTCTCTGTCTCTCACGCTTTCTTTTTCTTTTTTTCTTTTTCCCTCTCTGCCTTTATCTTCCTCTTCTCCCTTTTCCCCCTCTCACTTTCTCACCAGAAAGAGTTGGAAATAAAGCGCCAGGTACCCATCTCAGAGTTTTCTCTATTTAACATCTACCAAAGCAGGTAATTGAGACAAATGGTCAGATTGCGTGCAACCAACACAATATGATTCAGAAAATATTTTACGCTTTTCATGGGAACACACAGCTTCAGTCGTTGGTTCCAATGATATTGCTACATTAGCCGCGTACTCCTTGTGCACAGCTGAACTATTCATGCTTCTAGCATTGCTCTTAAAAGGGCTATAGGCCGCTACACCTCTGTGCGTGCAATGCTGCTGGCTGTCTACGAGTTCTTAACGGTGACATGAATGTTCCTGCACTTACTCCTATATTTAGTTTGAACTGCCGTTCCTTAAGACATTGCTGTTGTTAAGACCAACAATCGGACAAACGTTGTTCGACTGGGCAACACAAGGATGAGTTCAATTTCGACAAACGCTTCAACACGAATAAGCTAAATGATAGGCAATGTCGTTCATTTTTCGGTACATCTGTGCGTGCCTGCTTTTCTAATACATTCTGACAAAAGCCTACATGCTTAAACATACGGACGGCATACGGATCACATCTATCCAACACTTTTGTCGTACGTAAGACCTCGCAAAGGTATCGACTACCAGCACCAAATATATATCTTAGTGTAAAACATTTTATTTCTAGAAATGAGAAAGCACCCGGTAAGCGCCTGAGTCGGTCCTGGCAAAATGAAACGGCACTGTCGGGTGCTAGGGTTTCCATATGCTTACCAATGACCGGGTGTGTGTCCGGGCTGAAGTCCAGCTCGTGGTGCGTCTCTCCGAACTCCAGCTGGACGAGAAGATTCTCCATCTGGACGTGCGCTGACCGCCCCCCGGCCTGCGCTGGCTGGACCACCAGGTCACCAGAGCCAATGACATCCACCGCCCCTGCCGGTCACGGGGGGTCAATGACTTCTGCCACCCCGCAAATCACGGGGGTCACTGGCGTCTGCCACCCCGCGGTTCACAAAGGGGTCACTGACGTCTGTCACCCCACAGGTCACAAGGGATCACTGACGTCTACCACCCCTCAGGGCACACGTGGTCACCACTGACTATTGCGCATGCTGGTCGAGTAGAGTTACCGATTTTTCAGCGCCAATGTGTTATACGGAGTGACGTCCACCTCCGCGTTATACAGGTGAGTGACGTCCACCTCCGTGTTATAAGGGGTGAGCGACGGCCACCTCCGTGTTATACGGGTGACTGGCGTCCACCTCCGCGTTATACAGGTGAGTAACGTCCACCTCCGTATTATAAGGGGTGAACGACGGCCACCTCCATGTTATACGGGTAACTGGCGTCCACCCCGTCCGCAGTTCACGCACCACCCCGCTGGTCAACCAAGGTCACTGATGCCGGCTGTACCGGATCAGGCGAGAGCCCACAGCCTGGCAGGTGCAGTGTTGACCTTTTCGACAGGTGACAGTGAGTTAGTGTGCACATCAATGACGGATGTTTTTTCTCACATTCCTGCAGCTGTCGGCGCATGTTTGGAACATATTGCAGTCAAAGCACAGCTCTTCTTCGGATCTCACAAAAAAGGCTATTGCTATGCAGCATTTGCGTACATACCAGCATGACCAAGCTTAAGGCGTGCATGCAAACGCCACAAGGTTGCGGCGTGTATGCAAACGCCACAAGGCTGTGGCGTGTATGCAAACGCCACAAGGTTGTGGCGTGTATGAAAACGCCACAAGGCTGTGGCGTAGAACAGGTGAGGTCACGACAGACGCGAGTCTTGCCATGACGCAGGTGGTGATAAACTGAGCGAACGGAGCCAACCGTCTTCGGAAACCTATACACATGGGTTGTATCAGTTCATTCGGCTGTTCAGCTCTTTCGTTGGAGTTCAGCAGGCAAGGAGCTTCAAGGGAGCAGCAAAACTTGTGTTTGCAACGGACAGAGCCGAACGCAGTTCCGTGTTCTAGTACACTAGCGTTCAGTCAGCGGATAAGTTGATTCCTTTGCAAATATATGTCGCATGGAGTAGAAATTGAGCCAGTCTTATTGGCTGAAAAAATGATGATTCGATTCGAGCGGAGATGGAAGAACAAATATGTGAGGACTACGGCTGCCCCTAAATGTGCAGGAAATGAGCGTCATGTATATCAGTGTCCTTCTAAAAACCCGTCTGATTACATCCTTCGCAGGCGTCTGCAAAACACAGAGAACGGCATTCCCAGGAGTTCTGGTCATCGGAGACAACTCCATCAGAGCCGACTCCAGAATCGGGCTGATCTCCTCGGGTCGAAGTCGGAGTGTAGTGACGACTGTGATGTGTCGCCCGAGGTCAAGGCCGAATCAACTATGCGAGTCTGAGTCGTTATCGATTCCACTGGAGTGAAACGAGCACAAGTCTGGATAAAGCGTTCATGGTTAAATATATAGCTTATATTACTAGAAATTAGTCGCCTATGATTTGAGCCGGGGCTTGCTTGCCATTTCGGCTGCCGAAACCAATGAACGTAGAAGGAGGTATGCTTTTGGCGACAATGATCACAACGGGAATAGCAGCAAGCCGCAACTTACGACATGCTAGCAACCGGCCACCAATCCCAACAGCTGGACCGTACGACATGCCACCAATCCCTCAAGCCAAACCTTACGATATACCATCAATCCCTCAAGGCGGGCGTCACGACATGCCACCAATTCCTCAAGCCAGACGTCACGACATGCCACCAATTCCTCAAGCCAGACGTCACGACATGCCACCAGTCCCTCAAGCCGGACGTCACGACATGCCACCAGTCCCTCAAGCCGGACGTCACGACATGCCACCAATCTCTCAAGGCGGACGTCACGACATGCCACCAGTCCCTCAAGCCGGACGTCGCGACATGCCACCAGTCCCTCAAACCGGACGTCACGACATGCCGCCAGTCCCTCAAGCCGGACGTCACGGCATGCCACCAGTCCCTCAAGCCGGACGTCACGACATGCCGCCCGTCCCTCAAGCCAGACGCCACGACATGCCACCAACCCCCAAGCCGGACGCCACGACATGCCACCAATCCCTCAAGGTGGGCGTCACGACATGCCACTAATTCCTCAAGCCGGACGTCACGACATGCCACCAATTCTTCAAGCCGTACCTTGCGACATACCAAGATATGCCACCAATACCTCAAACCACACCAAAACACGAGCGGAGTCACGGTTTGCACTGGAGAGCAGGTGATCGACTGCGGACATCATCCCACACGTTGACCAATATAATTACTTGCTTTTTCCACGCCAAACAATGTTTGTCCCGCGACGCTGCTACGTAGGTGATCGAGCTGGCATCAGCTGCTGCGTGGAACTAGAATAGACGCGCGTTCTTGGGCTTTTCCGAAGCTCGCATTTTTATATGTTCTTTGCAACATGCATGGGACTCTATGGGCCCGTTTGGGCGGTGGATTATTTTGAAAACATGGTCCGGATGGTTGGAAATTTTTGAGGAATTACGTTCGCTATTGGGAGCATGGAGAATTATCGTAGTTAAGTATCCGTACCGGGGGGAAAATCCCAGGAATTTTTCGGAGCATGGCCCAGACGGAGAATCTTTTTTCGCTATGCATAGCCATGACTGTTGGCTATGCATGGCATAAGGAAGACGAATCTGGGAAAAATTTCCGGACCTGCCGAGCGCAAATGGATAATCTCCAGGAATGACTATCGAAGAGATAATTATTCGTTGAATAATTTTCCCTTGGTCAAACGTGCCCAGTCTTGTTAACAATGCATTGTTGAAGGTAAGTAATGGCTGATTAAGCAGCTTGCATGCAGGCGGCCTGAAACTTATACCAAAAACCTCTTGAAGAACTGCGCGTCTATTTCTGAAAACTCCTTTCAGCCGTCATTAGCCTTTGCAGCGAGAGCTCCTCTTAGAGAGCGCGGCGGGCATGGTGGGGAGGTCTAATGATCAGGCATAATGTGATTATCCTGGTGATTGTATTTTTGCGTCAAAACCAGCTGTCTGCACGCATGCACGACAGATGTGTGCAGATGCAGCAGTTTCAAGGCTCACCATCGCGGGGCTTCGGTCGCCACCTACGGTTGCGCCATTGAACATCGCCGACTAGCGCTTGAAACCTCTGCCATGAGCGACCTTACCATGACCTTGCATGCCAAGCCATCCGTCACCGGGAATCCTGATTTAGCCGACCAGATGGAGTAGAATTATCCCATAATTCGACATACTTACGTGACGGGCCACACGCCACAAGCTATCTCTCGCAAAAAAAAACTCTGTGATCGCGGCGCCACTCGAATGGCATCTATCCCAGCGGCTACATTTGGCAGTAATTGCCAGTCAACTGGAACATGGAAAGAGGAGGGGGGAGGTGGGGGCAAGGAGGTCGACATAGAACGCATTGGGGGAAACGCATTGCCGTCAGATGGTGACAGCATCACGCAGCTCTGACGTCACCGCCTTCCAGGCCTGCCACTTGTGTAACCGTGCCCCGATGACCCAATTTCAATAAGAGAAGTTGAGATGTGTGCAGACTAAAACTACGCTCAGCGAAGTTTTTTGTTCATTTATGCCTTATGTATGCTGGTTATGTTGGAGCATTTCTAGCGTAATGTGAACAAACGTTTCCGTTTCCATAGGCAATTAATCGAATCCCGTATAATTTAACGAAGAAGAGCATCACATGTTCTGCTTGATCCAGAGCGGTTCGACAGCTAACATAAAGTTCATCTACATGAAAATGGTGTTTTTGCACCAAGAAACCCCCAGTGCTTCCAAGGCAACTCATTTCCAGCGCTCCCTTAAAGGCCGCTGTTGGAATGTGCTAGGTGACCACAGCAAGCACAAATCAGCCACGCTATTTTTCGCCGCTTAGCCGGTCATGTGCGGGAGGCAGCTGATTGGTGGGACTGCTGCGCGGGGGATGCGGGGAAGGCAGATAATTGGTGGAACTGCTGCGCGGAGGATGCGGAGAAGGCAGCTGATTGGTGGAACTGCTGCGCGGAGGATGTGGGAAAGGCAGCTGGTTGGCGGAACTGCTGCGCGGAGGATGCGGGGAAGGCAGCTGATTGTTGGGACTGCTACGGGGAGAATGCGCGGGGGTCTGACCTGAAGCCATTTACACATGAAATTGGTAATGCCATTGTCAGAAAAGGCTGTGACGTTTGCTCAATTCCTTGCTCCTGAATGTACAAAGACGGCGAATGTTTGCTCGGTAGAAATCTGGAGCGGAGTTCAGCTCAGGCTTTATTTGAGCGGTTCAGTCAATGTTTATGGGTGCCTAGAATCCCAGGCGCGTAGAAAGTACATCATTTCGTTACCAGTAATTGTACTGCTACGCCCTCCCACATAACTACTTAATTCTTTAAGTGGCTGCCATGTAGATGATACGCACTTCACTTGTCAAAAACGCTAATTTAACAGCACGATGCGCATGTTTTTAAACCACAAGCTCTCTCTTCTCCGGAGTCCCGTCCGTCCGTGGGATGCAAAGGGACTCGAACACACGTGCACATGCGGCTGATTTCACATCTCGGTGAAGCAAAGAAAGCATCAAACGAGGAGCAATCTCCTTGAATCTCTGGCTCGTCTCACTGCCTTCTCTCCGCAGAGCCGGCAGCGACCGTGTGACGGGGTGGTGACCTGTAGCTTGTTTGGCATCGAGGCTCTGACGACACGAAACGCGGCGCCGATCGGCCGGGGTGTGACCTTTCCGGGGCGAAAGCCGCCCGCCCGCGGCCCGTCCCGCGATGGGCACTTACTGAGCTGGGAGGAGAAGTTGCCGCGGCTGGTAACTACCAGGACGAGAAAGCTTCCCCTGACGTCGTAGTCGCCCGTCAAGTCGACCTCTGGCACGCTGAGGTCAAACGCCACCGTGCGCTCTACCGGGTCCACGCTGGGGCAGAGGAACACCTGATCGTCAGGGGTGCAGACCAGGCCCACGCTGGGGCAGGGGAACACAGGGTCGTCAGGGGTGCAGACCAGGTCCACGCTGGGGCAGGGGAACACAGGGTCGTCAGGGGTGCAGACCAGGCCCACGCTGGGGCAGGGGAATACAGGATCGTCAGGGGTGCAGACCAGGTCCACGCTGGGGCAGGGGAACACAGGGTCGTCAGGGGTGCAGACCAGGCCAACGCTGGGGCAGGGGAACACAGGACCTTCAGAAGTGCAGACCGAGGCCAGGATATAACGCCGAGCAGGGCTAGCACCGCGCTGACAGCCGCACCGGCGGCCAATGTCTGCACGCAGAGAACAAACAGGCGCGAGCACAAACAAGCGGAGAGCTGAGTAATGCGACAACGGCTAATAACAATCACAAGCATTAAAGGCATCCTGTTAGCCTTGTCCCGGCATTGAAAAGCCGTCTGATAAGGCTGTCTGAACAAACCTGTCTGACACAATATTGGCGTTGGAATCGGAGACGCGGAGTGAATGGGACGGTTACGTTTCTCTTTGCACGGGGGGGGGGGGGGGGGCACAGCTGGGTGCGGTTGAGCTGGCTCACTCAAGGCTGCGCAGTTCGAAAGAGGATAATCCGTGCACGATCACGTTGGAGTATTTGGCGTCCATTCCGTCCCGTGAGAAGACGAGCTCATCCAGCACCAGCGGGTCGCCGGGTGGAACGTTGTTTTCTGGTATCCCTGCCAACGAAAAACAAACTATTGCCGAACGACGCCAATCACTCAGATGTGCCATTGCCTAATTATGTTAGACGGGCACGATCAAATGCAGCGCCGCGCGGGGTAAAGAAAAATAAGGGATGAATTTCCCTGAGCTATCATAGGGTAGCGAGTTGAAAGGGTCTGCTGAATAGATGTTGCAAATTTTTAAGGAGAATGCGTCGCAACTTGCTATGGATTTTGCTTCAAACGATTCATTGCGCAGAGCCCGGTGATGTGTACATGTTCGTTCAAAGTATATATGGCTGAAAAGTATGAATCGGTGCATAGAATGTGCGTGTTTTGACGGACACAGATACGCTGAAGCTTATCTGCGTGTGCCTGTGTTTTAAGATGGCACTAAGAACAAGGAATCTCTGGTCTAGCTATCTAAATTTACGTGAAAAAATAACAGATTCATATACGCTATTCTGTTGTACCCCTTATTGATAAACTCGCATGCCTACCCACCAACCACAAAACTGTATGTCGGGACGTGTTCCCTTCCTATCAGTTGGGGCGTCCCATCCACCAGCGCTGGGAGCAAAGCGGGTCAAATATGGCGTGCATCCCGTTTTTGTACATTTTGGGAGTCATCTGAGCCATTTCCTCGCTCAGTCCGAAAACTTATTCTGGAAAACTACACCCCTGAGTGTAAGCGATTTGACAGGGCAGAGGACGTAGCTCATCTTGTAATTGTTTCAGCTGAAAAGGATGCCAGAAGTATCAGGGATATTTTGGTGCTCATTTCATAAACCGCTTTATGGGTTATCATCAAATGCGCTTGGTTGGTTGCCAGCAATTGTGGAAGACAAACAGTCTGTTAGTGATGTTGTCCGTCACTCTTATCACGATATCGCGTGACACAGAGGTAAGGCGTTCAACCATAGTGTAACATAGGACATTTTGACTACACTATGGTTCAACCACCTTCCAAAGCGCAAAGCAACACATATGTCACCATATTCAGCTGACTGCAGTTACTGCCAATAATTCCAGTTTACGGACATTACCCTGAATACGTAAGCCAATTTTACGACATTTTCAACATTTGTGGACTTCAATCGTTTTTTTTTGCGTTGACAGTCGGGCAATGTTTCCATTTTCCAACAAAATGTGGCAAAACAGAACATTTCCATAAAATTGCCTGGCAGGTTTTCAGTAAACATTAAGAAGGAAATGCATAAGCAAGGTATACACCCACATAACGATTATCAAAACAAGCGCCTTACGGGCCTACGTATGCACACACGGACTTACACGATTCAGTTACACACCTGTTCTGAAGAACGGCCGCAGCTTTTCAAGGCCATTGGCCAGGCAGTTACTCAGGGCCACCCGGTCGTCGATTGGGCACTGGTCATCTGTCGAGAGCTGCCCACCTGTCGGTAAACATGCTGCATCAGACACACTGAACGTCTCCGAGCCGCGTGGACCGAGCTCAACACAGACATTGCACAGGTACGGTCTTACGAGCACGCGCGTGCCTGAATCTTATTCCGGGTGTTTACGGAAGAGTGACACTCCAGGAGTATCTCGCTCAATGATATCGGTACCCAAATGCGTTGGCGCCCTAAATGCATGAGCGTAGGTATGCTCTTTCCCTCGCCGGGCGGGAAATATTGCCAGTGATGCGCCGGCTCAAGGGGTGGTAGGACCACCTTGCCTTTTATCCCTTAACGGAGCTAAATGAAGGACAAAGTAGTGAATATGCTGGTAGGTAATAAATCAGACGGTGTCCAACATGCCACCTTGATTTAATCGGTGACCCGCAGATCATGCCAGACTAGTGCTCAAGAACACAAACACTTTCCTGGACAAAATTAGGCACCAAATCACATTTAAAATCGGATTCAGTGTAAAAGTGGTCTAGTGAGATCAATACTAAGCAAGCTCACCATATTCCACCGACCACAACACATCAGGGAATAGTGATTGTTAAATGTCAAAACCAGGCAGCATATTTAACACTTGACAGTCGCCCGTTTACGCTACCAATAATTATTTATATCCTCGTGTCATCTATAGATGACATAGATGATGTATAGGACACGTATGAGCATATGGAAAAAAAACCTATTCACACTCATAAAGAGCATCTGCGAATCAACATTCAATTTCAAAACATACTTGTTAACGTGCGTTGTGTTTCCATAAAACCACTCACGTTCTTCATCTTTTTTCCCGTTAAGTCATCCTTGGTTCCTGTCTTAGTTGGTTCTCAACCTTGGGTTAACGCTAGCGTAATGACACAAAACTTCGGCAACAATGCCGCACTAATACCACACTAATGCCACAAAAGCGTATGGCCGCGTGTCATTGGGGTTTTGCGAGCGCGCCAACGGCTAACATCGTTGCGAGTGCATGATGTTAAGTGATCACAAGCCGCACTGGGCAGCACACCACTATTGCATGCGACTCGAGAGTGCAGCCGGCAGATCTGTGAACGTGGGAAACCCAGTGAGATTCCCGGCTGCATCTTTGACGACAGGGCGCCGGCGCAGCCACACCAGCCGCCGCACTTCATAGGAGGCTACGTAACGAAGTGCGCCGCTCGTCTGCTTACGCACAGAGGCTTTGCATACACAGCGGCACGCCGGGCCAAACATGACAGACGAGCTTCACTTCTTATCATCGACTGGAAGCCGGCGTCATTTAAGCTGAAGTTTGACAACCAACGTACATATCTAGATAAACTATGGGATGGGTTTGAGTCTGGTTGCAAACACAGTTTTCGCAAAGCGTTGCTCAATGTCCCAGATTCCCCGTCTGCAACGACTCCCTTGATCACCACTATCAAACAGGATTGTCTTCACCAGCATTTTCCCCCACTTGCTGCAACATATCTACTCATTTTGAGTTTCACACCAAATAGACCTTGTAATAACGGACATAAGAGCTTAAAACTCATTATTTCTATAAGAATATGTTGTCAATAACGTTCTAATCCAGCAGGTTCGCGGCTTACGGTCTTGCAATTAAGGCCTCCGTGTGCTTCGTCAGTGCTGAGCAGCGCAACGCCTTACCACCACACATGCGACAAATCCGTTGGCTTTCTATCTGGTCAGCCGTTGGCAGACTTATGGCCGCCACCGTACTTCGAGTGAAATAGTGCTGTTAACCGCTTTGATGAGGCTTTCACACCTCAAATTTGAACTGAATGCTTACTTATAGCATGCATTGGCTGATCCAGCTGAACATCCTGGTTCCCTGTGTGTTCATGCGTACTGTGTTCGTGGTATCTCGCAGAGATAGTATCCACACTTTAATGCCTTCGGCTCTTATGACCCTACTTTATTACTTCTAAAATGTCCGGAAGATTTTCGACTTGTCAAAGATCTTTACGTAAAGGGGCTCAAATTAAATGCCACCAAACTTTAAAGCAATACCATTGGAGGTATTTCGGATTAGGCACCGATCCGTCCGCCTATACCGCATCCGTCTTAGTGGCTTTAACCGGGCGTCTATCGGTCAGTCCTCTTCGTCAGCCCCTAAATCTGAGTGATGAAGCGCCTACCTACTGCAGAGGTATAACTACCGCCGTGTCCTTTCGCCCGAGTGGTTCATTCTTCCGTCCGCCTGTTACGCTGTTTGTTGTTGCAGTCACCCTCGTACCGTCTGCTCTCACCGGCATCACTTGTTGTTGCAGTTACCCTCGTACCGTCTGCTCTCACCGGCATCACTTGTTGTTGCAGTTACCCTCGTACCATCTGCTCTCACCGGCATCACTTCCTCGTGCGGCCCCGGGTCGGACGGTACCCGCGCCGGCGGGTTTCACCACGTCTGCCTCCCGCGAGGTCTTCTCCGAAGCCGAGGCAGATCGGACGCACTCTCTCCCGGCGCGCTGGGCGCTCCAGGAATGCGCGGAACCCGACTGATCACCGCCATCCCGTTCACGATTCTGATCATAAAGCGGCGCTTATCGCACAGCCGGTGTCATGACGCCGCCGGCCGACGAGAGTGCAACAGCAGCACTTTCTACGCTGCCCGAATGGGCGCAGCGGTGAGTGGCAACTGGCTCAAATACGGCTGCCGTCTGAGAACGTCGGTGTTTCGGTGTATCACAGTGGCCGGGCGCTTCGTGATTGGAAAACGGCAGATCAAAGCAAAACGAGCATAACTACGTCTTTGGTGAAAGATCCGTGATCATGGCCGACCAGTCCGCTATCAGCTCATCTGCCGGATAATGCCGCTGACCGACACCTCCCCAGCTCATCCCTCGCCCATCGCCGCGCCTCCCGCTTTGCCGTAAGCTACGCCGGCCCCGCCGAGAACCTGCCACCTGTCACGAGAAGGCGGCTGAGAACCCATCACCTGTCACGAGAAGGCGGCTGAGAACCTATCACGAGAAGTGGCCCCGATCAGACGGCTGCTGACCGCTCTGCGAGGAGGCACCATCGCGCCTTGCGGAGTGCGATGCGGCGGGCTGTCTTCCGACCGGTGCTTAACCGCTGTTGGAAGCTGGCCGAACATACCGGCTCCGCGAATTTCGGTCCTTTTTTTGCTGAGGCAGCCAACATTGTATGGAAGTTAAGGACTGTTAACTATCTGCGGCATGACTTTTTGACAGCTTGGTGTCAGCACTAAAAGGTAAGTCAGTCTTGTTAACACCTTTCCTGATAATTCTACCCCGGTTGCGTGTACACCAAAACAGAAATTCAGGAGCCACGTGGCAGAAGCCGTCTGCGAAGGTTGACAAATCGAGCTAGGTGAAACGAGGTTGAAACATATTTTTGCACTCCTTTCACATCGGTTTTGAAGTGCCCTAGATTAAAACTAGTTCTAGCTCAATCACGTCACCCCCTTGTACAACGTGAAATCATCCAAGGTTATGCCACGAACTTCCATACTCTTGAGCTCAGATAACATTGCAACAGCATGGTCAACTTAGCGCGGTGAAAGGTCAACAAGGTGGGAGGTCAACTTTTGAGGATATCCATGTATTGACCCCAGTTTAATCCGCAGCTCCACCTGCAGTTTCAGCTCTACAATACCTGGTGCTAAATGAACTGGTGACATTGCTGCAAAAGAACGACCACCCAATTATTCCATCATGGAACAGCTACCCAAAGTTCAAATGGCAATAACCTAACATTTGCCTTCCAGAAATCCAAGCTTGGTTTGAGTTACTTCCATGCATTATATGACGACACTTGGGGAAAACCGCTATGTCTGTAAACCTGTCATAGCAATGGGAAAGCCTAGGCGTGCAGTGGGACTCCCGTGCCGCGTGCGGCGGGACTCCTGTGCCGCGTGCAGGGAGACTCCCGTACCCCGTGCAGCGGGACTCCTCTACCGCGTGGATGGAGACTCCCGTGCCGCGTGCAGTGGGACTCACGTGCCGCGTGCAGGGAGACTCCCGTACCCCGTGCAGCGGGAATCCTGTACCGTGTGCAGGGTGACTCCCGTACCCCGTGCAGCGGGGCTCCCTTACCTCGTGGAGCGAGACTCCCGTACCCCGTGGAGCGAGACTGCCGTACCGCGCACCTGCCGTGTGCGGCGGGGCTCACCTGCCGCGTGCAGCGAGACCAGGCCGAGCAGCGCCACAGCCGCCAGCCGCCGAGCCACCGCCATCACGGTAGAAAGTGAAATCGGCTGTGAGCGGGTCGGAGGTCGCAGCCAGCCTTTATCGGCCAAGCCGCAGCGCCAAGGCCGCCTCTCATTGGCGGCTGCGCGGCGCCGGCGGCGACCCGGGACCTCTCCGGGCTGGCGCGGCCGGCCGCCGCAGCACCGACGGCCGGGCACGAACACGGCGGAGCGACCAGGAGGCTCGGAGGGCGGGGGGATGGCGCTGCTGTTCGTGGTGTGCTTCCCATGAGTGTGGTGATGGCGTGCCAGGGTCGGCGAGCGATGGACAAGCCTGTCCGCTGCTAGCTACTGGTGGCGCCATCGGGAGTTTCCCTTGAGCTCATCTGCTTGGAGAGTGCGAGTTTTCGAGCGAAACTGCTCCTTAGGTCATTTCGCGCGTCTAAGCTCGCGCACGCTTGGAACGTTTCGCTTGGAAAGTGGGAGTTGTCAAGCGCATTTGCTTCTTGGGTCATTTCGCGCATCTAAGCTCATGCACGCTGGGAACGTGCAAATCTTCCGAGAGAGCTCAAGATAAATCAGAATGCAAACAGAAGTGTCACGCATAGTTTGTGGCGCTATTTGTGCCTCCGGGCTGTCCCGTGACACGGTGGCCTTGACGTGACGGGACGGAACATCCGTGACTGTGAACTGCCGTGACTTGAAACACGTATACCATGTCCGCTGCTCTTGTGGGTGGCCCAGCTTAGTAAGCTATATATGCTCCATCAACGCCAGGAAGACTGGACCTTGGATCTTGAAAGGGCCTCACAAATACGTCCGGGTTCAAGAAGGCTACTCATTAGGTGCGAAAGACACCCATAGTTTAAGGTATGCCTAACCGCACCTCGCATAAAAAATAGGAGCATGTCATGCACTGGCATATTTTATACACACACACACACACACACACACACACACACACACACACACACACACACACACACACACACACACACACACACACACACACACACACACACACACACACACACACACACACACACACACACACACACACACCACACACACACACACACACACACACACACACACACACACACACACACACACACACACACACACACACACACACACACACACACACACATATATATATATATATATATATATATATATATATATATATATATATATATATATATATGGTGCTGTTGGACACAATTTTTCTTGGCTGAGCTTTTCACCCATCTTTCATCGACATTTAAAATGTTGCCAAATGGTCTAGTTCAGACAGTCGACGAAGGAAGAGCCGTGCGTGGAAGGGTTAAACGACACACAGAATGCCAACTGATAATTAATATGCATTTTTAAAACATTTGACCAAATAGGACGGCCACAGGCAACGCAATACAGTTGCTCATGGCCAAGAAACTTTCCGATAGTTTCTAAAAACATCCTTTGCACGCACGCGCAGCTCTCGAGCCTCCGGCCCTCAGACGACTGAGCCGACAGACAGCAGGTCTCGAGCCTCCGGCCCTCAGACGACTGAGCCGACAGACAGCAGGTCTCGAGCCTCCGGCCCTCAGACGACTGAGCCGACAGACAGCAGGTCTCGAGTCTCCGGCCCTCAGACGACTGAGCCGACAGACAGCAGATCTCGAGTCTCCGGCCCTCAGACGACTGAGCCGACAGACAGCAGGTCTCGAGCCTCCGGCCCTCAGATGACTGAGCCGACAGGCAGCAGGTCTCGGGCCTCCGGCCCTCAGACGACTGAGCCGACAGACAGCAGGTCTCGAGCCTCCGGCCCTCAGACGACTGAGCCGACAGGCAGCAGGTCTCGAGCCTCCGGCCCTCAGACGACTGAGCCGACAGGCAGCAGGTCTCGAGCCTCCGGCCCTCAGACGACTGAGCCGACAGGCAGCAGATCTCGAGCCTCCGGCCCTCAGACGACTGAGCCGACAGGCAGCAGGTCCGGCCCTCAGACGATTGAGCCGACAGACAGCTCTCGCGCATCAGATGCCACTTGGCCGACAGTTTCAGCAGCGTATATCTCCTGCACTCTGTGCTGAGCAGGCGCAAGCACGGCTGCGCGTGCCCAGCACGCGCCCAGCACAGCACATTCCGTTAGAAGATTGCCAGCAGGTCAAACGGGCTGGCGGGTGCGAGGCGCCGTGCCGTGGTGACACTGACCCAGCCGTGGTTAACGACGCTTTTTGAACCACTGCAATCTTTAAGATCATTAGATCATTGCGGTCGGGAGGGGTTCCAGTGGTGGTGTGCTCAGAGAGTTTGCACTGTAGGCACACTAGGTAGCTTATCATGCGTGCTCGAGTGGCGAAATGGCGGTGTTTTGTTGTGGCAAGAAGGGAAGATAGCTGGGCGACCGATCCGGGTCGATATCTAAAGATACAGGCTGATGCGGGTGAGGCTTTACAGTCATTTTCAAGAGGCCTTACCTTCCTCTTCCAATGTACAAAACAGATCGCTGAATGCAATAATACTATGCAATACCAGCAATGATCTCCATGTGTATTGTAATCCAACCACACATGGCGCACACCCCAAACTCTCCTAATGAGTTTCGTGAGATACCGAGTATGCTGGACGCTGAGGCGTGCGCTGCTCGTGCACAAGCGGTGCTTCTTATTTTCAATGCCACACATCGGGTCACTGTGAGATGGGAAGACTACTGACCCATTCGTTTGTCTTACTGCGGTCTGGAGAAGGAGCGCAAGGTGTGTGCCAGTCTTGCGCGGCTCCAGTATTGGATGGACTATGTCGGCGACGTGCCAGGCTTGCGTGGCTCCAGTATTGGGTGGACTATGTCGGCGACGTGCCAGGCTTGCGTGGCTCCAGTATTGGGTGGACTATGTCGGCGACGTGCCAGTCTTGCGTGGCTCCAGTATTGGATGGACTATGTCGGCGACGTGCCAGGCTTGCGCGGCTCCAGTGTTGGATGGACTATGTCGGCGACGTGCCAGGCTTGCGTGGCTCCAGTATTGGGTGGACTATGTCGGCGACGTGCCAGTCTTGCGCGGCTCCAGTATTGGATGGACTATGTCGGCGACGTGCCAGTCTTGTGTGGCTCCAGTATTGGATGGAATATGTCGGCAGCGTGCCAGCATTGCGTGGCTCCAGTATTGGATGGACTATGTCGGCGACGTGCCAGTCTTGCGTGGCTCCAGCATTGGATGGACTATGTCGGTGACGTGCCAGTCTTGCGGGGCTCCAGTATTGGATGGACTATGTCGGCGACGTGCCAGCCTTGCGTGGCTCCAGTATTGGATGGACTATGTCGGCGACGTGCCAGTCTTGCGTGGCTCCAGTATTGGATGGACTATGTCTATGATTGCGATGGGGTGAGCTCGGACTCCAAATTTGAGCAATCACGCGCTGGTTTTGAATTGTATGAGGACTGGCGTACCAATGTGCATTGCTTAACTCACGGCGGCTATCGCATGTTTGCCGTATCCCTGTTATGACCTCGTCCCCTTACTGCTGGTTGGGCAATACATTGAGGCATGTTATCGCTGTTTATGGACACCCAGACAGCTGGAACATCGGTATGTTGATATTGTATCGATATTCAAGCTGTATTGTATCGACATTATTGCGTTCATACCTTGATGTTACCAAAAAGATGATGTAAGCTATGGTATGCCCATTGAAAATATGCACACTCCACTTTTAGTTCCAAAAGTTAGCGTGTGCTCGCCACAGTTGCAGGCTTCTTGTTGGCGCGGTAAATAATGAGGTACTCCTTCTCCAAAGTACTCCTATCTAGAAGGTGGGGTACCGTGCTGGTACGCAGCGTCAATAGACCCAGCTGAAAAATAAAGTTTGGTAAAATTTATTCTTCGCTACAGAACAAAGGCTGCAAAACGTGAAATCATCTCGCCAACGAGAAGGCCGTTTGAAAAGAGTGCATGATATTTCTGTCATAGTTAACACCGAATTTGTTTCCATACGGTGCCACAAAGATTCCATCAAACCGAAAGGTGACAATCATACTTTTTCTAAAGCGGCATGCATGCGGCACTTGGCTGTCCCAGCGCCGAAATTTGTCTCCGGGCATTGTCAACATCTGCCATCAACCATGCTCGCTGAGACGAAAACATATTCAACCTCTGCAGTAAGTCCCTCGCTTTCTGAAGACGATCGGAGGTAGTGCATTGCATCACAACTGCATGCAACATAAACAGCGTAAGGGCCACCGCGGAAGCCCCTGGCACATCCGAGCCCTGGAGGCGCTGACGTTGCCACCGCAAGTGACAAGGTCACGCCCTCCCGTCACCAGCCGAGCGCCCCCAAGGACGGGGCGTGTGATCCCGTCACCTTGCCACATGCTATGGAGATTGTATTCGAAGAACGGACTCGTCACCAGCCGCATTGCTACGGCGCCGAGCTAGCGAGCCACGCGCGGCACGCGGCTGGCGACGAGCGAGACGCTGCCAGACGGCGCGAATCACTGATGAAGGCGGACTGCCGACGCTCATCATGACGAGAAATGAAGCTTTCAGTCAGTGCGGTAGAGCACAGCAGCCCAGGCATTACAAACCTGTGGTTCGGTTTCGCACGTCCAGCCGTCGTTACGGCATGGCAGTGCAAACGTAAGCATATGTCCTACGAGACGTGCTCCGTGCAACTAAAGGCCGTCCACGTGCTCTTGGGAGCGTCCTGCAGTCACGCGCCGTCGCTATCTCTGCACAGATGCGTACCGGAACAAACGGAGGTCTACTACCAGCACTGACAGAAAACTGACCTCCAAACTACCTGAAAGGGAGATTTTGGAACACCATAAAGATAACCATCACGCCGTCCGGCATGAGCCCGGCGTGATGCATCAGACAGGGCCTTGTCCTGACGTCAGGAGCCTTTATCTTGACAGCACTCGTCCAACGCTGTGAATTGAAGCAACCTTGGATGCGACAGGAACACCGAGCGTCCAACGCCGTTATCCGTGTAGCCCACGTAAAGCGAAAGAGGGATACACATACAACAGCAAAACGGGTGTGTAGAAAGCCGCGGGAGCGCATTGTGGCAAAGGAAATCCGCGCCACGCAGTATTAACAGTCACGAGCTTGCGGGACAGGGTACGTGGCGTCATACCTGACACGAAATGCAGCGCGGGATGCGCTCCATGTTCCCATTGTGTGCTGTTTCAGACCATCAAGTGGTGCCTCAGACCAACATCGCCCAATGCCGTCATCCGTATATGCCATGTAAAGGCGAACAAAGGATGCGGTGGTCAATTCATGGTCGCAGTTGGGGTCGAGCCGAGAGCCCGACGGCCAAATCTCCTCCTGGTTTTTATTTCAATGGATAAATGGAAACATAAATTCTTACATTAGTGACCAAAAACCATTGCCGAATAGTTATTAATTTAACCAGCACGATATGCCCCTAGTCATGCAGGAATGGATCCAGAGCGGAGGAGGGGGGGGGGGGGGGGAGGGCACGAAAATGAACGCGCCACTCGCTAGGCCGCCCTAGGGCACCGAAGGCACTCTTCTATGGCGGCGCTCCTAAAGGTGCGCCCATTACGGGGTGGAACATGGCAGGGTGTTTCATGGTCGTAAAGACTCAAACGTGCCCCAAAACCTTGGCGGAAGGGGAGGAGGCGCCTCGAGGAATGACGGGGCACCATGTGCTCTGTGGATATGTCGCGAAGTCCAGAATGAACGCACTGAAATATGACCGTACGCCTCAAATACTTGGGCTGGAAGCCCCCGAACACCAATTTGCCTCCCCTGCGCCTGTGCTAAGGACAAAAGGAACACTCACGCTAATCATATGGTGCCCAACATCTGGAACTGCCCCTCATGGCTCAATCGGCCACTCTGCAGTTCAAAGGTAGGTCCCGAGGGCGGCAAAACCGTTCAGTCCTAATGAACAGGAGGGTGCCTCAAACCCTGTGGGAGGAGCGCCCAAGGACCCAAAGGCCGCCAGCGGCATCCAAAAGATGTTCCAAGATCAGATCTAAGGTACTTGAGATCAAATATTGTCACTAACATTGTTGAGACGTGCCTGAGTGTGTGTGTGTGTGGGGGGGGAGGGGCTAAAATGGGTGCCTGTGGGCTGACAGCATGTCCTGGTGAGTTACATGATGAGTTACAGGCCAAGAAAACGCCTTCAAGAATGGCAGGCGCCTTGAATTATATATGAGCGCTCCTAAGGCCTCAAAAGACGTCGCTCAAGTCTGAAAATGTGCTCCAACAGTTAGGAAAACGTCCTAAAAAATCTGGGTGTCCCAATACCTTGAGCGTCACCCCCATTGGTCCACAGGATGCCCATGACGTATAATACATGTTCCAAGAGTGACCAGAACACTTCAAGAACAGGAGAGCGTCAAAGTCCTGGGAAGGTCACCCATTAGGGTTTTAGCTGTAGGGGAGGATAATATCTAGATATCTAGAAATAATATCATAATATCTAGAAATGGGTGTCCCAATGGCGAGAACGCTTAAAAAGATAAATCATAAAGTCTTAAAGGGCAAACACAAGCGCTCAATGAGTGCCCCTGGTATCTGGAATTCTAGCAGCACCCGTGAATTCTGGAAATATGCCCTAATGGCGAGAAGAGCACCAAAAAAAGGCATGCGAAAGCTCGAAGGGGCGAATGCAAGGGTTCAGTGGGCGTCCCTGGTGTCTAGGAATATTCTAAGGGCTTACATGGACAGGCAAGCCTCCAAGAAATTCACATCAGATGTGAAAATTACACATCGGGGTTTGGCCGCCTTAAAAATAGCATAATACAATTCCAGATACACGTCTCGGTACACTAAAAGAGTGTTCCCGATGTCGAAGAATATCACGTGGGCGCCAAAGGTGTCCTCAAGAATAAAAGGGGTTTCAAAGACCTCCGTGAGGACTTTGGCTGACGTTAACATTGCGAAGGGACGCTCATGCTGTTTGCAAAATACACACGAGTTAGCTTCAAAACATTCAAGTTACCGGACACCCATAACAAAGGACACAGAGGTGTGAAAACAAGGCATTGAAGTTTCAAAGCCGCCCATGCGGGATAAGGGAGCCAGTAGCGCCTAGTAAACTGAGGAAATCGAATAAGTCGGAAAGGCTGAAACTCCCATCTGAGCACTGCGAACCACGGCCACGCAATTCACTCACGTGCGTCACGCTCAGTCCCACGTTCCAGAATTTTAGTGGTAGAGATTCTACCTGGCAGCGCTTTGTCAGGTACCCGAGTCAGGCATGGGGGCGAAGTTAGGCTTCGGGATTTAAAGCCAAACTCGATGCCAAGACAGTGGCTGAAGTCGAAGCCGAAGCCGATGGCTTTTAAGCTTGAATCTCCGAAGCCGAAGCTGACGCCAGTGATATGTTATTTTTCTTAAAAGACAAAGCGGAAACTGAAGCCATTGGCTTTGAAAATTTTCCTGGGATGCTAAAGCAGAAGTCTCAGCGGCTTTGAATCCAGAAGCCCATCAATTTAAAGTCGCGCGTCCAAAACAGTAGCCGACTTGGTGAATAACAATGTTATGCGAATCCAAAACCCACCTTTGTCACCTGCTGAAACTGCATGGAATCAGGGGTGGCAACCGTGTGAAGGCCGTGGCGAACGTGTCGCACACATATTTCACAACGTGGGGGATGCCCCTCACAACCTCAGATGGACCCGGAAGCGTCGAACGCATGCAGAAACGTTTTAGTGAAGAGATCAGAATGACAAATCTCACACAGCACGCTAAATGCCCTTGCCGTGACTTTTGCAACGCACGTAGAAGTAGCTCGCGGAGCTCACGAGTGCAAATTCTCTTATTAGGAAAATCCTGGCACTGCAAACAGCTGAGTGCGCGCTGGTCACGTCTGCTGCTCAGCTCCTTTCCCGCGCTTCTCGCAGGGGCGTAACGTTGTTTCTCTTTGCGGGGGACATGACCCCTAATGTTAAGCCGGCCCCCCACAAATGTTGGACTGCGCCCGGCGTTGTCGAACTTGGTCCCTTAAAATCTCAGCTCTTTAATCCTCGCCCTGATTCACCCTCCACCTAACCCTGAAAACCCTCTGATACACTGAATCACTGACAACGTCACACTCACAAAAGAGTCGCTGCAGCAGATCCACCGAGCCATGAAAGTTGTGTCGTGTATCACTCATACCCTGTCATCACCCAGGGAATTTTTGTAGGACGTACCCCACGTGATTCTCTTTTCGGTAGCAGAGGCCTTAGCTGCCTGCCACTTTCCCGTAACACTTGCGCACGTGCCATATGTAATTTTGCGCGCCGTCTGGCCGAAGGCGCTTTTAAATTCACCGTGGCTGTAATGTCTCCTCTTGTACACTCAGGATTTGAGGAACCTCACCAATAAAATGTAGGGGCGTCAGATTGGTTACGGGTTGTGCCTCATTCGGCTGATGACGCGTTACACAAGCGGGTCAAAAGGTCACGAAGTAGGTTAGGTTAGGTTAGGTAACGGTTGGGTTAGGTTAGGCAAGGTTGGGTTATGTTAGGTTGGGTGAGGGCCATCCTTGAAATTTGGGTATTCGCCGTTTGCTGGAACGAGATGCTTTCTTTTTCGCCATCAGTGTCTTGCTCCTGCTGCCTCCAGAAGCACTTCAGCGCGCCAACGTTCCGCTCGTTGTTTACAGTTGTTTTATCTTCAGCCAGCCGACAAATGCCATCCACTGTCGTTTACCGAATTCTGTTAGCTACTGATGGATTGTGACTTTCTAGGCAACTGGTTTGAGCTCACTGTTTGAAATATGTTAAAAATGTTAAAAAATATGTTTTACGGTTGTGGGATTGGAGCCGACATCCTGCGCGATCTTTCAGGTGGGCTTCGATGAGCCCTCAGTGAGAAAGAAACTTGACTTTTGTAATGCCATCTGATGATCTTTTTTCACTGTATCTTCCCATTTTGTCCTGCATTTATGTTCAGAACCGATCCGTCGCTTAGAAATTTCTCCTGCAGGACCAAAATTGGTTTTCTTCAAGGGACGTATCGGATTTTAAACATAAAACTCTGGTCTGCCTTTGGATAGCCCAATAGATTTCGTTGGCCAGAGCAAATGGTTAGCTTTTGCTTTTATATCAACAAAAACTCAAACGCACGTGCTATTGAGCGAAACGAAAATGCGCGTGCTTGTATGTTATTAGGCTTTGTCGTAAGGGCATCAAATCAGAACATGTTTTTCGCCCTTCAGCCACCGTGTGAACATGCAACATCTATAAACTCATAGGTCACCGTGGCTCATTTCAGGCAGCCAGCTCTACGAGCGTCCCGACATCCACGGTAGTTCTTGTAAATTATATTACCAATGAAATGACAAACAGATTAGTCTAGGTCATGTCATCGGGCACATCGTCAGGCGATACGAAACAATACGAAAAGGAAGCACAAAAGCACGGCTCCGGCCCGGGTCCGAGACCGTCCGTGACCAGCTCCCAGCGCTGTGCATCGGTTTGAAGACTAAGCCGGTGTCGCGAGGACGACGATGAGTTGCTTCAGACGCGGCTGGAAGACGCACTCGTGTTATGGGACCGTGACGCACCCACTGCGCCAGGTGCGCTTCGGTGTCGGGGGGGGGGGGGGGGGGGCAGTGTTATGGGATGCCGCGCAGGGCTCCAGGCTCTCCCGTCGTGCGACGAGGCGAGGACACGGACAGCTCGCGCTCAGTTTCGCCCTAATCTCCGGGACGCTCGCAGCACGCGCGAAAGGCGACGGGCGTATACAGCTTCCCAGGCGTTTCGAAACAAGCATTCGCCGTACCTTGACAGGAAGAAGCCAACAGATGGCTTCAGCTGGGGCCTATACCAAAGTTCCTAAACCGCCCGGATGCTCGCGTAAGCGACGCTCAACGCCAAATCAACTAGCATTTTGACTAAAACGCCCTAAGATGACCGTTCCTAAGGCGCTCGTCTAGACATACTCGGCTTACAGCGACCTGGAATCACCAACGAAGCAATGCACTTACACGAAGCTACCTATCCTCTTGAAGTCAGTCGGCACTGGTCCTCGAAAGCTCCGATTAGTGCAGAGATACATCGTGACAAGGAGACTGGAAATGGTTGACACCACATGAGAAACACCGTACATCGAACGCAGCCACGAAGACGCCCCGGCAGCTGGCTCACTACAAGAAGGAGGGGGGCCGGGTGCCCAACGGGCCACCCGGGGCAGACGCCTTGGTGCGGTCCACGTTGACCTGAGCCTGCAGGTGCGGTGGCAGCCGCTCGTACACCTCCTCCGGCACGTCGTCTGAGGAACACGGCAACGCGGTCAGGAGGACGGAAGCTGCCGGGCACGAGCAGATGCACTCCTAATGCAATGGTGGTTCTGGGCGTCACGCCTAACGAAAGTGATGTGTCGGACCAGAAGCCTTTCAGCAGCGAGCTGTTATTGTGTTTCGACAGGCGGTTGTCATGTCCCGCGGAGGACGAAAATGCCTCCAACACGGCGACAGGGATGGAGTGTCTTCTTACCGTTGCACCTGTACACAAGGTCGGACCAAATGATCATCTCTTGCGAGAAGCAGAACACCCCGATTCGGCCGCCTTTCAGCGTGTTGTCGTAGATGTTGCCCGAGTCCGCCACCAGGTTCTCGCCCTGCAACACGCGCAGTTAACGTCGAACGTGGTCACGTGGTCACGGTCACGTGATCACAGCAATACCGGACGCAAGACCAGCGGGAGCCGCAGCGGGATTTCTTTCCAGATCCGGTATGACGATAGAGTCGGTTCATTTGTGCCGAGGAAGAACCAAACAATGCAGCATTTCAACCGACAGGATTGGCCGTAGCGTCTCCCTGGTGCTAACTGTGGTTGTGAGCTACGCCAGCCTGGTTCCGACCCGCGCGCGATTTCTGCGGCGGCGCGACGAAGAGCGGCGCACCTCGTAGATGCGCAGCCGGATGAGCCCGATCTGAGGCCGGTGCAGCAGCAGCCAGCGGTAAGCCGTCTTCTCCTTCCAGCCGACGTTTCGCGGGTCCTTCCAAAGCAGCGTCACCTGGACAACACGGCCCGCGTTACGACACAGCGGGGGGCCGGGGGGGGGGGGGGGGGGGGGGCACAAGCTCGGCCAGGTCGGCAACGTGAACGGTGGTTTTCGCAGACCAATTAATTTGTCAACAGATTGGTGCAAGCAGGTATTGCAGGTGTGATCTGGAATCCCAATACGACATTCTTCAAAGGAGTGTGTGCTTATCATCGTTGCCGCATCTCAACCTGCTGCTGTTTAGTTATCATTTGACATCATGCGAAACAAACAAGGCATCGGCCAACGCGCGCATCAACGGAGGCTGTACGGCCCCCTTTGCGAAGGGAACGACATGCTGGATCCGATCAAACAGTGGTAGGAGAGCCACCGCAGAAGTGGTGACGTCACGCTGGACCAGCCACCGCAGAAGTGATGACGTCACGCCGGACCAGCCGCGCGCCAGTGACGCGGCTCCTCATCCTGCCTCCTGCCGGCTGACGGCCGACCCTGCTGCTGCGTCTCCGCTGCAGCTCAGCGGGGCCGCTGACCTGGTCGAATGTGTCGCCCGTGTGCCAGAGGGCGTTGCGCATCATCTGGCCGGGCCCGGTGTTGGAGTTGACCACCTTCAGCTGGATGCCAGGCTCGGCTACAGCCCGGAACGGCGTCGCTTGCCAGTAAGTCTGCGTGTTCTTCTTCCACATGACCGTGTAGAACTTCTTGTTGTCTTGATAGCTGGGTGGCACAGGGGATGTGAGAGATGGCGGGCAAATGCGGAGGCTTTCAAAAATAATTGAGAGACGCGCTGAGACTTCAAGCGAATTCTTGCTACACAGCGGCCTTGACGCGGTGAGAGCTTGACGCTTGACGCTACTTCAAGCTGTAGGAAAGTTACGCCATGGCGGTCCTTGGGATAGCGCCCCACAGATCGCGTCGCTGTGCGATCTTTCGACACGACCTTTGAGCTTGACGGATCAAGTGAGACTTGGCCGTAGGTCCTAGTGAATTAAATTTTCGATGGGCATGTTGTATGCAGTGGTTGCTAACAATAAATGCATTACCTGAACACAAATCCGACATAGTCGTCATCTATCTCCGTGTCGACGAAGAACGTGCCTTCAAAGTCCACGCCTGAGAACTTGTGGAACCCTGGAAACACAGATAAATCTCACATCACTCAAGCTTCCAACGACAATTGCAAAAGGCATATCACATTGCAACAGCAGCTTTTCCAGCACCTATTCTAAAACGCACAAGACATGACAGCTCGGTAACCCATTTTTCAGCTAGAAAGGTGAGCGGCTTACATTCAACCTATTCCTTGGAATCGAGAAAGAAAAGAAACAACGTAATCGAAAAGAAATAGAATGAGCCGAAAAGGAGCATATTGTCAACTGCTGCGTTAGAGGACGAGTTTTGGTTGGAGTGGGAGAGGAGAGTACAGCCTCACCAACTGCTGCATTAGAGGACGAGTTTTGGGTGGAGTGGGAGAGGGGAGTACAGCCTCACCAACTGCTGCATTAGAGGACGAGTTTTGGGTGGAGTGGGAGAGGGGAGTACAGCCTCACCAACTGCTGCGTGAGAGGACAAGTTTTGGGGGGAGTGGGAGAGGAGAGTGCAGCCTCACCGACTGCTGCGCTAGAGGACGAGTTTTGGGTGGAGTGGGAGAGGAGAGTGCAGCCTCACCAACTGCCGCGTTAGAGGACGAGTTTTGGGTGGAGTGGGAGAGGAGAGCGCAGCCTCACCGACGGCCAGGCCAGGGTCGCTGTTCATGGTCTGCACGATCTCGGCCCCTTGGTTGTAGATGACCCAGTTCGGGTCGATCTGGGAGTCGCCGAACGGGTCCAGCACCACCGTCTGGTATGTTCTGGAAACGTCGGTGAGAACGCAGATCAGACGCGGCACTCTGACTGACGGCCGCGAGATCGAATGGGTCGGGACATACTATCACGTGTGGTTTGATTTCCACTGTAGCTGACGTCAGAGATCGAGACATCGGCTGCCATAGCAGCTTCACGGGCAGCAAAATAGTCAATAGTCGGCCAGCCCGCGATCCAACGCGTTGGACGGATTTCTTTATCATGACCGGTGCTACCGGTGTTGTACTTGAAGGCGCCGCCCTCTAATAGCAAATGTTCGACGGCTGGTGTTTGCACTTCATCCATAGTTCGCGCTCGCACTGCGAATAAGCTGCGAGGGCTCCTGAATATCTTTCGGAATCGCAAACACAAATACAATAAAATGAGACGAAAACGCTCATGAAATGGAAGAATGCTTAATCACAGTTGGTCAGCACAGGAAATTGCAAAGGGGCGTCAGTTTGGAACTAAAATATGTTTGAGACTCGCTGTGATTTACGAGTTTATTTCTATATGACGCGAAGAACATGAGCCTGGCTTACTACACCACATAATCTTCAGAAATGATCAGACTATTTCGCTCACGTCTCTTGCCTTCTGACGTTCAACGCGCCATACGCCATGCGTAATCTCGCGGCGCTGCCGTCCCGGCCCACCCGACGGGACTAGCGCGAGCTGCCCCACCTCCACCCTGAGGCCAACCCGAGCCTCCCCGCTCTCCGCCTCGCCTACCGGCGTCCAACACTCACCTGAAGTCGGTGGAGTAGATGCGCGAGTTGTTGGGACAGTTGTCGTACTCGTTGGGCACCTTGTCGCCGTCGTTGTCCTTGTCGCAGGCGTCGCCGCGGCCGTCTTTGTCCCGATCCTCCTGACCCGGGTTTTTGATCAGCACGCAGTTGTCGCTCACGTCCGGCACGCCGTCGTTGTCGTCGTCGTCGTCGCAGGCGTCGCCGATGTTGTCGTCGTCCGAGTCGACCTGGTCGGCGTTCGGCACATCGGGGCAGTTGTCGATGTTGTTCTGGACGCCGTCCCTGCGGCCCGGCACAGATGTTTGACCTCGCTAGCCGAGCGCGTGGAGCGCGGGCGAAACGAGACAAAGTTCGCGGGGTGAGAAACGAAACTTTCAAATGGTTTGTTGTGTGCCAACAATGACTCGTTTTATGCCAATAAATTTGTATGTCAAGAACGTCTTATACCAATGAAATTCTAAGTGGGTGGCTGTGAAAGAAGACAGTCACCATGCGTTTTTGTATCATGTATCAGGCTGCATTAACGACACGGTTTCCTGTTTTGTTCCGTGAGTGACGAAAACTGGTCAGCTTTCGACTAAGCGACAGCAGTAAGAAACACTTGAGTCTAATCCGAGTGAGCGAAGAATGACTTCCCTTCCGATCTCAGCACCTCGCCTCTAACGACATCTGCCATCTTCAGCGGCCAGAGTGTTAACTCAAACGAACACCACACTCAGAACATCACAGATGCTTTCCTATTTCTCCCACGGACGCTTACTCGGAGGCGCGACCAGCCGCCGCCGCCCCTCCCCCTCACCTGTCCTTGTCGTCGTCGGTGTCGCAGACGTCGCCCACCAGGTCACGGTCCTCGTCCTCCTGACCCGGGTTGGAGGTGGTCGGGCAGTTGTCGCATACGTCACCGAGACGGTCGTTGTCCGTGTCGCGCTGGTCCGGGTTCGGAATCTTCGGGCAGTTATCGCGCTCGTTGATAATACCTGCCGGGCACCGGGGGTGCACGGTTAGTCCCCAACACTGCAGAAGACGGCCGGTGTCTTGGGGGCGAGGCGATGGCCACACCCGGCCGTCGTCGCTGGACGTGCGGGCATTCGACTTCCCTTGCTCGCATTTACCCCTCTACGCAGTTGAGTACATAACCGAATTAGGCGTGGATCAGCAGCGACACGGAATGTATCTGAACGTGTCACCGGCTCGAAAGCGAGTGAAAGGCACAACCAAAACATCACGAAGCTCGGGCGTGACCCGACTGCCCAGACACCGTCTCTCGCACATGACCGGCGCCCCGCGTCACCGCCCCGCCCGCGAGCCGCCGGCTACGGCGCCACTTGCCGTCGTCGTCGATGTCCTCGTCGCAGACGTCGCCCTTGCCGTCCTTGTCGGTGTCCTCCTGGTCGAAGTTGGGGATGGTAGGGCAGTTGTCGCACACGTCGCCCTGCCGGTCGGGCCCACCCGTGTCCGTGTCCTGCTGGTCCGGGTTACCGACCAGCGGGCAGTTGTCCTGCAAGGGCCGGCGGCAGTCAGGCGGGCCCGGCGGCGGTCAGGCGAGACCGGTGGCGGCGGCGGCAGGCTAGCAACCGCGGCCCGCGCGCCGGCCGCCTGCCGGCTTTAGTTGGCACGCCTCGGCCGGCAGTGCTGCCAAATCTTAGCCCGGAATTTGTTGACAAAACGGGATTGTTGCCTGAATGTTTTACCATGCGTTATCATCGGTTTTACTTCTTCTTCAATGCTACCTGCATCCATGGAGGTAGCGCTTTCATTACGTGCATCTAGGTTTTGATTGCAATGAGTGCAAATGCTGCAGATCAATGCAATCATCAGTGACGTTAACAGTATGACAATTTCACATCTACCTACATTTTCATAACCGAGAATGAAAGCCAGCGTTGAATTCACGTCGCGCAGGACAATTTGGACCGAACGTAGGACACCATCGTGTAAAGGGATGCACCTTAGCATTTATCAAGCAAGCTTATTAGGGAGACAAAGAATAGCATGTTGCATAGCAAATACACACATTTGTCATATCTGTATGAGCCACGGACATTACCGGTAAGAACTGCCTATGCATAGGAACCAACAACAGACCACATAAACACACACACACGCACCGCCACCTATTCACAGTCTGAACAGGCATCGCAGTTGTCAAAACAGCTCTTTGCACAGAGGGATACACGAGCTCAAACCTCCTGGTGAATCAAAAACAACACAGACCGACAAGCGAGCTAACCTCTCACACGGTACACACGCACGAGCACGCCACCACGGTAAGCACATCCCTGCCAAGAGCACCGGAGTTAATCACAAGACGCCTCGAAGCGTCAGCTGCGGCAGGCACACTGTGGCAGTCAACAGCCGGGCGGAGCAGCCAGCGGGAGACCTCTCTCGGTCACAGACCGCGTGCAGCAGGCACACATACACACAGGGGCGCCGGCGCCTCCGCCGCGCTCTTTCAAGGCCGGAAGGCATGTGGCAGTCGGTGGCGGCGCGGAGCTAGCGCGCGCGCTCCTGGACACCCGTCTGGTGCGTGTTCTTTTACTGGTGTTTCGTTTCGCTCTGCTTCGTGTTTTATCGCATCCTCCCCCCCGCCTTAAATATTACGTTATCTTATCTGTCAATTCAATGTCCGCAACACCGAAATGTCTATGTACCCGCAATGTTAACAATTCTTTGCATATTCCTTGGCTTGAATTTACCGCGATCTCCACCGTATAATGGCGTTATGCTTGATTGTAACCTGCGCAGCGTCCAAAACAACAGCATTCTTCTCTCTACCAAATATGCCCACGCTACCGAATTTCAACACGAATTTCTTTACGAGCACGTAATCCAGGCAGCACTTCAGAGCATACAACCGACCATTTTGAAATAACGAAATGTGTGCGCGAACATCAGTACATGAATCGGACGTCGGCATCCGTTCTACACAGGACATTCGCTTCGGTTTAGCATTAAAGCTTACCGCCACGGACCCTGGTGTAACAAAGCGCAAATTTTCCCAATTCGTTAATCAAAGTGCCTTCAGGGAGCGGTTGTAACGGACACGGTGCAACAAGCCACGCCCATCGGCGCATCCAAACAACCAGCAGCCAATGGGTGGCGTCCCTGCAGCCGGTGAGCCGCACAGCCTTTGTACAAACAGAAGCACAGAGCACGAAGCGGTGTGGAGCCGCGCCGTCAGGCTCTTCCGCTTACCCAGCCTGGCATGGAGCTGTTGTCCGGCTAGAAGAACGGCAGCGGCAAAGGTCAGCCGACCCATTCATCACGTTCACGCGCTACGGCACTGTCGACGGCATGCCTAACCTGCAGGCCTACCCCAGAGCTCAGGACTAGCAGGAGCGAGGAGGTAATATGAATATGAAACTGGGAGATTGCTATGTAAAAGAGGAGACAGAGGAAAATGACGTTGGGAATGGATAGCGTTAACATGCTTTTTGCTCAGAGATCAAAGATCGTAATGTTCAAAGGACATATTTGGATCAGAGTCAAAGCTAACCCGTGACACACTTGGGAGGGAGAGCCCGTACATATCTCTAAAATGGACAGCGTGAGCCCGTACCCAAAGTGGCATGAGTCCCGGAGTCTCTACAATAGAAGACGAGCCACTGCCGTCCGTGCTAAACCCCTACGTGTTTCGCTTCACCATGTGCAAGCCTCAAACGCAAGCAAATCACTACGAGCGTCTAATTCACACGACACTACCCGTGGCGTAGCGGTGATGTGTGGTTACGTGCCGTGCGTGTGCCTCTCCCGCTGGCTGCAGGTCAGGTCAGGAGCCGGGTCAGTGGCGACGTACCGGTCCGTTGGGCACGCCGTCTCCGTCGGCGTCCGGGTCGCACGCGTCTCCGATGTTATCCCCGTCGGCGTCCTCCTGGCCGGAGTTGGGTGTGTAGATGCAGTTGTCCTGCGGCACACGGGCCGTTCGTGACGGTTATGAGGGACCGTGCAGCACCGCGTGAGATCCGGACATTGGACGTGACGCCAGTCAATTGTTACATGATTTCATCCGCATACAACTATTGTGCATGCAATCAAGACTGATCTGGAACACAGCAGAAACTGGCCCTGAGCCACAACATGAACTGGGCTGGAGCCACAGCATAGACTGGCCGTGAGACACAGCGTAAACTGGCCCAAGCCATAACATAGACTGGCAGTGAGCCACAGCGTAAACTGGCCCGAGGCACAGCATTAACTGGCCTGAGACACAACAAAACTGGCCGCAGCACAAGCGCCGGCAGCAGTCAGGGAAGAGCTCAACGCGTGTCCTAGTGGCGGCTCATGACACTGTCTCAGTCGGAGGCAGAACGCACGGCGGCGCCCGGGCCTGCAGCGCCGGGGCTTGCCAGTGCCTGCCCCGGAAATGAGGGGGGGGGGCGGGGCGACCGACGCCCGACCTGTGGCGCTGGGGTCCGCCAGTGTCGGCTACGAGACGGGGGGGGGGGGGGGGCAGCCGACAACGGCGCAGCGCGGCACTGACCTGCACACAGCGCCGGTCCGAGCAGCTGAGGCTGATGTCCGGGAAGCCGTCCAGGTCAGTGTCCGGCGCGCACATCTTACCGTTGCCGGCCCACCCGATCTTGCACTGGAACAGAGGGGCGGAGGGTCGTGTGAGAGACCTTGAACCCACAGCTGTCCACGCGCACTGACTTGCAGCTGTGATATGTACGCTTCAAGGGACACCCCAAGCTTTCCGGTGGCGCCTAGTTAGCATTGCGCTGGTTTGTTTTCCTTCCTGACAGCCGAAGGTTGCTGAGCCTGAAGCGTAAGTCAAGTCACTTCAGTCAACTCAGCATGACAGTGAGACCGAAACACTGTCTCCGACGAAGCCCTTCCGCTCGGAACGCGCGCTCGACTTCCGCCGGGCCTGGCAGCCCCTCTGCGCTGACCTTGCAGATGTAGCGGTCGGAGCCGTACGGCTTCTCACACTCAGCGTTGCCATCGCACTGCGTGCCGTCCGGGCAGAGGCCGGGGCGGTTGCGGCACCCGACCGTCTGGTTGCCCACGAAGCCCTCGATGCACTCGCCGCAGTAGAACGAGCCCTCGGTGTTGACGCACTGCGAGTTGGCCACGCAGCGACCCTCCTCGCACTCGTTGATGTCGTAGCAGCGCTGATGGTTGTAGCGCGCGTACTCCAAGCCCACTCCCTGTTTGGAGGGGTGGAAGTTATGATAACCCGGTTGCTAACGGTGTGTCATACGTTTCTTTCTGGTGGGAAACCTTCATCTTTTCCACTTCTTCACGCGTTTGAGAAGAAACTACGGGGGAACGATGCAAAACCTATTTGATCATGAAGAAGTGGTCTTGAAGTCTTGAACTCAAGGTCAGAAGGAATGCATGTAATACCAATGGATCTAATGCGCAATGGCAATAATGTTAACACAAAAACATGCACACGAAGAAATACAACTGAACCGGGTAGTTGACATATTGAACGGTAACAGTTAAGCTATTCGAACACGAGTGAGCTCCTTCCCCAGAAAATGCGAAAAACATATAAAGTTGGCGAATGACGCCTGCAGCCTCCCGCGTCGTCGGCCGCAGCTCACCTGGACTCCCTGGCTGCCGGTCATGCCCGGAGGGCAGGGGCCGCACCGGTAGCCGCCGGGCAGGTTCTGACACCGTACCCGCGGGTCGCAGGGCAGCGCCCGCGCGCACTCGTCAATGTCGCGGCAGTCCACACCGTCACCCTCGTAGCCCTCCGGGCACGGGCCGCAGCGGTAGAACGGCGAGTTGGGCATGTTCTGACACTGGACACCTGGCGGCCGAGTAGGTAACTGAAGGTAGCTAGGTGGCGCTGATAGCGCAGTCTACAACTCGGGCGGCTGATCCAAGCGATCGGCTGATTCGTATCGGCGGAGCATGCATCGCCAGTGAAACCAGCTGGAGACGGGGCTGCCACCCTCGTTACATGTCCCTCTGTGACGGCGCTCGCGGCGCGCTCATTGGGGGTCGCACAGCGCACATGCAGGGCCCGTCGCCAGCTGTTATACGATACACGACGCAGTCGTACGGAGGCCGGAACAGGTGCACATCTGCATCATCCCACCAGTTTAGCGTGGGCGGGGCAAGTGATTGACGCTGTTCGTAGCTTGAGTCGTATTATTCAAATCGGTGCGCTGTAGCACTCTGCCTTTCTCCGACAGCGGGCGCCATCCGCTGACGATGTCCTCGCACGATTCACGGCTGTGATAATTGAAATAGTCCGCATCATGTTTCGACGTTCATAAAGGGTAATTTGTTGTTCGGATTAGCAAACACTCGTGGATTCTGTGAGCAGACAAGTAACCAAATAAAGCATTTTAGATGGTCTCTGTCATCAACCTGTTTTCCCTTCTCATTGTTTTTCTCCCCCTCTTCATCTCGTTCCCCATATCCTTCTATCGGCCCAGTGCAGCCAAGACATATCAATGTGCATGTGGATGGCGGAGAATGTCAGGCAGGCAGACGCATCTTAGAGGTTGGAGAAAAAATACGCTTTTCTCTAAGCAGTTCCCTATCGCGTCTTTTATTTATCGGACAGGCTATTTCAGAAACTGTGCCTCTCTGTTCATAAATTTCCGTTCAGTGCCCATTTTTTACTTATGTGGAAGGCTGTATCATATTTTCGCCTTCAGACTTTCATTGTCTTCCCGCGACGACGGAATTGAGCAGCCTCTGTCCGACGCGCTGCATGCAGTTCGAGCAGTGCTGAAACACGTTCGACTAGACGACCACGGGATTTGCGCATATGGTGGGTTGTGACAGCCTTTTGCACCAGCTATTCGATGGACCGGTCCACGACTGCGGCATCGAGGAGTGTGCCTGTTCCCGTGATCACCTTCACCTGCAACCGCTCCTCCCAGCATTTAACCCAGTGATCCCCGCGCTCAGTGTGTGTGGGGGGGGGGGGGGGGGGAGGGGAGGGTGACATCGATGAGAGGTCGTGACCCGTGACCTGAGAGTGGGCGGACGTGACCCACCTTGGAAGCAGGGCTGGCGGTCGCAAGCGTTGATGGGCTGGCAGTCGCGACCGTCCCCGGTCATGCCCGTCGGGCACGGGCCGCATTTGGCACCGTTGGCCGTGTCGTAGCACCGCACGCCTGCAGCGGCGGCGGAGCGCAGTGTTATGGACGACTACTGCCGCACGCACTGCCGAATGTGGGTGGCAACGGGATCAACGGCGCACCTGCGTGTTAATATTACTTACAGAGTTGGCAACGTAACAATTTGTCCAGGTGTCCACCACTCCAAAGAAATCATACTTACAGCAAACTCGACCCTTTTTTATTGAACGCGCGTGATATTGGAAGGCCTGGTACTGAAGCATCCCGTTTGCATAATGCACAGCTCGTCAAAAATGCCCGACAAACACCTGCTTAATCAATTGCAACTACGCCGTTCCCACGCGTTTGCCTCCAACTGAAAGGAGTCGCGCTCAAATTAATCAACGCGACGGAGGCACTCAGGTACGAGCGTCACCCACCATTGAAGCAGGGCCGGTCGGCGCAGGTGAGGCCCTGGCGGCACGTCCGGCCGTCGCCAATGTAGCCGCGCGGACACGGGCCACAGCGCACCCCGTCCCGGTCCTCCACGCACTGCACGCCCGGGAAGCACGGCGACGGGTTGCACGTCTCCTTCCCGCCTGAAATTGCGGACGGGTCGAGTCAGGAGGTTCACAGGCCGAGGCACTGCCCGTCGCAGGGACGGGACGAGGTGACGCGGGGCTCACCCGCGTAAGGGCGGCCACCATTGCGCGAGCGGAGTAACAGGGCCACCGGATCGGTCGAGTCAGACGCATGCTCGGACCCGGTCCCTGTGCCCTCCGCCTGGCTCCAGACGTAGCTGAGTCATCGGCTGCCGGATGGTGTCCAGCGAGTCGGCCGCTAATCGGTCCTGGCTCCCTGGCGACGAGTCAGCACCGCTCACACCGGCGTCACGTGACCACCGGGCGGCGCCTCGGCCGCAGTCACGTGACCGGGCCGGGTCGGTGTCGGACCGGATTGCTGTGTACCGAGGCGGAAGCGGCTCTGCGCGGCGGGCCATGCACGGAGAGGGTCCGGCACAGGCCGCCGTGGATCGCCGTCACCGCGTCACAAGGGGGCATTCGATCGGCGGGCAGCGGCAGCAGCCTGTCCGCAACGGCGGCCGAGAACACTGGAACCTCTACCAAGTAAATTTCTGAGTGCTTCGACTGTTGATAGTCTTTTAAAGCGAACGCTGTCTGCTGTACCCGTGGGATTGCAGCATACAGGTGAATTACATTGAAATGGCGTCTTCGGGGAAGCATGGCGTGCAATTTGTGACGGCACGCCGCAAACAAATAAAACGCAATGTCTGTGGTCTCGTGGATCTAGCCAGCTGTCCAGGGAAAATTCGTCAGTTTGGCATCTGAAGGATCAGACTCCGTCAAAAGTGTTACTTTTGAGTGGTGGTAATTAGGACAGCAGCCATCACGACATTCGTGGCATTTAGCACCCAGTCTAGACGTAGTCATTTAGACCTGCACTGCTGCAGCGCAGACCAAGCACTGCCCTTGCCTCTCAGCAAGCTGCAGAGTGCAGAGTGCACACCAAGGGCGGGGGTAGGCGGCGGGGCGGGGGCGACCAATGACTTCTCCCGGCAGCACCAGCTGGCGAGATTGCGGCCGACAAGCCGGCGGAAGGACGAGTCGAGCCACCACAGAGCCCAGATAATCACAGGGCAGAGTCGCACAGAGCCACGGAGTCACGGCGCCGAGCCAGCACGCGCACGCGCCGCACGAGGCGCCACGCTGAGCGCGCTCGCGGCGGCGGGACTCACTGGGCCGGCATGCCTCGCAGTTCTCGAGCACCTGTCGGATCTTGGCCGTCTCGGAGCGCTGCTGACCCATCTCGGTGCGCAGCTCCTTGATCGACTCGATCAGCTCGGCCAGCGTCTTGATCAGCAGCGAGTCGCGGTCGTCGTAGTCATTGACCGGCTGGTCGCCTGGCGTTGAGGTCACGGGTCAAGCGAGGCTGGCACGCGAGCCGCGCGAAGGCGATGGTCGTCGAGTGACACGCTACAAGGCAGCGGCGCGGATAACGCCTGTCTTGGGTAATTGCTGCCTGCGTCGCGTGGAGATAGCGGCGAGTGAATATCTAAGATAGCGACTGACACAGGAGGACAGCGTCCTCCGTATTTAGGTCTCGTCAGGACGAGGGGTGCGTGACTGCTGCCCAGAAAACCTGATCACTGGTTGGATCGATACATGTGCACCCTGGACGGGAGGCGACGATCATGGCGACAACATTCGAAGTACGCTGGTGCTGGTGTTCACCAGACACCGGCAGCCAACCCCTCGCGGTTGCACGAGCTGCAGTTTGGCAACGACATTTTCATGCTACTTGTTCGGCGCAATTGCCAGCATTCAATTCCAAAACAAATATACTTGTCTCGCCGAGAACCAGCCAGCTCGCCGTCGCTGCCATACCCGGAGCGTCACGCGGCGGCTGTCCTGCCGGGCGACGCTAACGACAGCGCCGCTGCGCGGCTCAGGCGCCCACCGTGACGTCAGAGGACCGGCCTGCGGTCCCTCGGCCGCCCACTCACCTCGGTCCCCTGGCTTAATCACGTTCAGGGGCTGCGTGAATTGGGGGCAGTTCTGGGCCGGGTAGCGGGAGCGGCAGCGCGTGCGGCGGCGCGGCCGGGCCCTGTCGCCGTCACCTGACCAACCACAGGGGGCGTCACCGGGACGGAGGCAGCCGCCACCGAAGCGGACCGGACCGGACCGGACCGACCGGACCGGGCCGGACCGGACCGCCGGCGACAGGCGGCGCCCGCATCGTCCTCCACACCGCCAGACCAGCGGAACCCACTGGCCATGCCAGGCATGCTGTGCCATGTTTGCTGAGAGCAAGTGATGCGAAGTGACGAAGTTCTGAAACCTGCAGCGGGTTTCCTGGCCAGGCGGTGGGATGAACGAGTGCTGCGAGCGTACAGTCCAGGTGTGCCTCAAGCAACCACATTCAGTGCTCCCAACGTGTACCCGGGCCAGGACGCCAACAGTGCGCCGCGCTGAGTGTGCCGCGACACCCGCGTGTGCCACGTGCCATCGTAGGTGCACAGTGCATTCGCAGTCGCATTCACCTACCCCAGGCGTGTAGCGTTCCTGCTCATGCTGGCCGACCGAGCGGTGCGGGCCGGCGCGCCCGGCGGCCGTGCGCTCCGGCTCCGGCCACCGGGACGTGCTGCGGCCAGTACGCCGATCTCCAGACGTGCTCAGCTGGGCCGGGGTCGGCGGCGGACCGTCCGACCCTGGCCCAGCCACGAAGCGGCTACTCTCAGCAGTCTATACAGCGGGCTACGCCCCGGTCGTGCAGAGTATGTGTGTATGTGCTGATCACAGCCCCGCGTCACCCTCCAGACACCGCTCCTAATAAGCCACGGCGCCAGCTTTCCAGCGGTCGCCGCCGGGCGGCGGGAGATTCCCCGATCTCCTGTTCAATTCCTCCGAGTCAGCCGGCCCATGCATTGATTTGTCGGCGCGGTAGATCCACGGAATGATACGCTGGAAGCCGGCGCCTGCTGGAAAGCTCAGCCCCGCCCGATCTAACGATACAGAGACCTGCGCGAGCCAAGCGACATGCACTAACAGAACCGGAAGATGGGCCGCCGCGGGTGCCGCCCGCCCGGAGAGCGCGTGTCCCAGTGACGTCACGCCCCGTCCCAGTGGCGTCACTCACCGCGCTCGAACGGGTCTCGCCGCCGGCTGCGGCTGGTGATGGGCGCCTGGATGGCCTGCAGCACGTGACCGGCGCAGCCGTGCTTGTGCAGCACGCTGCTGAGGGACGTGGCGGCGTGCACGCTGGCCTCCATCCTCCGCTCCCGCATCTGACGGGCGGCAGCCATGCTCCAGTCACCCTGCATCGGCGCTCCGCCCAACACGGCCCCCGGTCATACCGGCACTCCACCCAACATGACCTTCGGTCATACCGGCACTCCGCCCAACACGGCCCCCGGTCATACCGGCACTCTGCCCAACACTCTGTGGTCATACCAGTGCAACGGGGCAAATCCGTCGACAAATGCCCCCCCCCCCCCGCATCTGACCCAGATACGCGTTGGACGGACAGTCACGGCTCAGCGATGCCGCCACTCCGGTCGACACACCCGATCACGCCGACATTCCGGCCGACACGCCCGATCACGCCGCCACTCCGGCCGACACACCCGATCACGCCGACACTCCGGCCGACACACCCGATCACGCTGCCACTCCGGCCGACACACCCGATCACGCCGACACTCCGGTCGACACACCCGATCACCGCCCGCCACTCCAGCCGACACACCCGATCCACGCCGACACTCCGGCCGACACACCCGATCCACGCCGCCACTCCAGCCGACCACACCCGATCACGCCGCCACTCCAGCCGACACACCCGATCACGCCGCCACTCCAGCCGACACACCCGATCACGCCGCCACTCCAGCCGACACACCCGATCACGCCGCCACTCCAGCCAACACACCCGATCACGCCGCCACTCCGGTCGACACACCCGATTATGCCGACACTCCGGTCGACACACCCGATCACGCCGACACTCCATCCCACGCCACCTCCGGTCATACCAACCCTCTGTCCACAGCGCCATCCCGCCCTCTGCTGTAGCACATGCGTGACATGGTACGCCCATGTTCATTGTAATACACGTGTGACATGCGTACACATATGTCCACAGTAGCACACGCGTGTCATGGGTACACACGTGATCACTGTCACACAGCGTGTGACATGCCTGCACACATGTCCACTGTAGCACACACGTGTCATGGGTACACACATGATCATTGTAACACACGTGTGACACGAGTGCACTACATATGTCTACTGCAGTGTGACATGGGTACACACATGGCTGTCACCCACGCACCCCGGCTGCTGCCTCGCATCCGTGCGAGGAGCGGCACGTGCTCCAGCCATGCTGACGCTCCGCACACTCCCCGGTGTCCGAGCAGACCCGCGCGCCCCACAACGTACTGTGTTTGGTGGAACGGCGAATCCAAACACACACTGTTGTCATTAAAAATCTAAGAACAATTTATTATGAATTCCGATGGCTGCTTGTCGTTTTCGTTTAGCCGCTGGCTCCATGTGCATTGCCGGCCAAATGCTCTCTGCTTAGACATCTTCAAGGACGATTTTGTTTGCTGTTTGCACGGATTCACCCCCTCACACGCACACCGTCATGCTCGCGATCACGACGTGTTCACTTAAGTTCACTCGTTTGTTATACACTCGTGGGTGGGCTGTTTAGAGCCGTACGTAGTCTGCGCCGACCCCAAACTGTGCCGCGTGGGTCTGTTGACCGTCGCCCCGAACCAGAGCATTACGTCACGATGCGCCGGTGCCATCATGCAGGACGACCAGTCCGGCGGGTGACGTGTTTGCAACGCCCACGACTGTCGATGAGCCGCATCGCGGGATGCCAATTACCAGATAAACTTTGTGGCGCGGTACACATGACAGAAACTGATGTTGTTGTGACGAACACGTCTGACGCATGGCATGGCATGAACTGCAGTTCATAACCACCGATGAAGAGTCAGTTCATAGCCACCGATAAACAGTTAGTTCATAATCACTGATGAACAGCCCCTAATTGGGTCTAATATCGTTCATCTGATTAACTTTAGGCTCACATAATTGAGAGGGTTAAAAGAGCAGCGCACCGGAGGCTGTCTGAAATAACTCATGCTTGCGCGAGGGAACCATAAGCATCCATAGTTTGCATGGTATGTGATCGAACATGTCATCGTGACATACAATATACGGACTGCAAGAGCTGCATCTCATGCCCCAGATCACCGGCCATAGTCTCATCCATGGCTCCTGAGCGTGGCTTGATTCATGGACTCAGAATCTGTGACATCAGTACTCCCCGTACCTTGAGCATGATCCGATCAGCGTGCGAGACAACTGAGTAGCCAAGCGCTACAGACATAGGTCACTCAACCGTCCCACGGCTCGCTCCTGAGCAGTCTGGTTCAGTCACAGCTCTCCCAGCCTGCTGTCCGGGCTCCTGAGCACAGTCTGGTTTAGCCACAGCTCTCCCAACCTGCTGTTCGGACTCCTGAACACAGTCTGACCGTTCCCCGAGCCTGCTGTCTGTACTCCTGTCCACACCCAGCCTGCCGTCTGTACTCTCGCTAGCTCCCAGCCTGGTGTCCGGACTGCCGCCGACACCCAGCCGGTGTCCGGGACGCCGCCGACACTCGACCGGCCACCTGTCGGGGCGACCCCAGCCAGACCTCGCCTGGCCTGTTCAGCCCGGGGGGCGACTCTGGGGCGGCTGGCGGCCATCACCGGCGAGGGGCCGCCACGCCGGCACAATGCCGTCATCAGCAGCGGCGCTATCACGGCCCGGGAGGTCACCGCCGGCCGTCGGCCAGCGTCACCGTCCAGCGTATCAGACGCGCGCGCTGCAGCCCGCAGATAGCGGCCACGAGCTGGCCTTCGCGGCCCGCGGCCCGGGGGCATGTGCCAGTCGACGCGCTGCAGATGCTGCGCCGGCGCTGTGCAGAGTCTGTCAAGTGCTAATACCGGTCAAGTGGTCAGCAATGCACGCATTGTTGGCTCTGGGGCGTGCTTCGATGGTGGGCGATACGGGCCGCCCCCGGCACAAGAGCGGGGCGCCGTCGGTCGCCGGCCGCCCGCCTATGGCAGTCGCGATCCGCCGGGACCAGCGGCCGGGCGGCAGGGCGGACCTGGACCGGTCTGGCGCGTGAGCAGCGGGGCCAGAGAGGATCTGGCCACGTGCCGCTCCCAATGGAGAGAGATGAATCATCGCCGGTTGTTTTGCGACATGTTTAACGGCTATGCCCATTAACGCGGATAAAGAGGGGAGAAATATGTATAACAAGAGGGATGAAGAGAGGGATAGAGAGACAGAAAGAGAGAGAGAGAGAGAGAAAGAGAGAGAGAAAGGGAGAGAGCAGAGAAGAGACGAGAAGAGAGAAGAGAGAGAGTAGAGAGAGAGAGAGAAGAGAGGAGAGAGAGAGAGAAGAAGAAGAGAGAGAGAGAGAGAGAGAGAGAGAGAGAGAGAGAGGAGAGAGAGAGCGAGAGAGAGAGAGAGAGAGAGAGAGAGAGGAGAGAGAGGAGAGAGAGAGAGAGAGAGAAGAGAGAGAGGAGAGAGAGAGAGAGAGATAGAGAGAGGAGGGAGAGAGAGAGAGAGAGAGAGAGAGCGACAACAGCGAGAGGGAGGGAGAGAGATAAAGGCAGGCGGCCGCCGCCATGTGACACATCCGACACGGACTACACGGCCGGCGGCTGGTCTGTCCGGTCACGTGACAGGAGGAGCCGGCCGGCTGGTGTGGGCTGCAGTCTCCTGGCCGATGGATTACGGCCATAAATAGGCGCAGCTCAGCCCCGATGGTCGCTCCGCCCTCGGCTGCCGGCGGACGGCGGGCGACGCCCAGATAGCCTCCCGGTGCGACACTGGCGAGATGGCCAGATGGCGTCCTCGGCGACACGGCCGGGCGGCGCGTGCGGCGCCGCGCGCGCTGCGCCGCCCGGCGTCCCCCGAGTGTCGGGCTGGGTCTCAGAACGTGGTCGCCCAAATGGTCTGCTGCGTGGCACCGCTGAGGTGACCGGGCGGGTATCTGTGTGAGACCGCTAGGATTACGTCAGGATGGCTAAATGCCACGATATAAACGGGGTCAACATCACTTACGAGACCGCTGGACAGGAGCTAAATTTGGTTTCCGTGTGACGTAAGACCGCAGGAGGTCAACCGAACTAAGCGATGTTTCCACGGACCTCTGGTCTGATACCAGCTGAGAACGCGCGTAGTCGAATGACGCTCTTATCTCCCAAAGAGCTTTAGCTACTCCGAGGCCCGGTCGTCTTATCCCGGCTATTGTCTCTCGACAGCCAGCCATCAGCATGCTGCACGGGATCTACTGGCGCGGATCAGTCTCTGATCAGTGGGCACCGCTCTGAACACACAACCTAAGACAATCCGGCATGCCAGGCAGGTGCGTGTTTTAAGGCCGCGCTAAACGGGCATAGGTATGCAATAATGAAACAATTAAACTAATAATTGTTGCTTTTTCTATGCAAATAATTTGGCTTACAGATGACAGGATGATCGTTCCAGTGATCCCTCTGAGTGAACGGGATAGTCCCTTTCGTGTCAGCACTGGGCTGTCCAGATGTTTCCCACAACCCCGACAACCCCCGTGTGACAACCCCGATGCCCCCTGAGGGTATCCTGCAAGACACCGCGGAGGTGTCCAGAGGGTATCCTGCGAGACGCCGCGGAGGTGTCCTGAGGGTATCCTGCGAGACGCCGCGGAGGTGTCCTGAGGGTATCCTGCGAGACGCCGCGGAGGTGTCCTGAGGGTATCCTGCGAGACGCCGCGGAGGTGTCCTGAGGGTATCCTGCCAGACACCGCGGAGGTGTCCTGAGGGTATCCTGCGAGACGCCGCGGAGGTGTCCTGAGGGTATCCTGCGAGACGCCGCGGAGGTGTCCTGAGGGTATCCTGCGAGACGCGGAGGTGTCCTGAGGGTATCCTGCGAGACGCCGCGGAGGTGTCCTGAGGGTATCCTGCGAGACGCCGCGGAGGTGTCCTGAGGGTATCCTGCCAGACACCGCGGAGGTGTCCTGAGGGTATCCTGCCAGACACCGCGGAGGTGTCCTGAGGGTATCCTGCGAGACGCCGCGGAGGTGTCCTGAGGGTATCCTGCGAGACGCCGCGGATGTGTCCTGAGGGTTTTCTGCCAGGCACAGCAGATGTGTCCTGAGGGTACCCTGCGAGGCGCCGCGGAGGTGTCCAGATGGTCACCCCAGCGTCACCTGTGAGCTATCCAGGTGGCCCTCTGTGTCACCATGGAGTGTGTAGGAGGCCATTGGTGATGCAGCTGGTCGGTGACGTTCGTATCTCTGACAGCATCGGTCGCGTAGGCCGGCAGCGAAAACCTTGAACTGGCGTTAAAGGCAACGCACACTCTCGATAAAAATGACGCTGTATTAACGCGATTAAAAACTAGGCTGGGTGGTCATAGACTTAAATGGCTGTTGTGCGGCCTTTCATTCAAGCTACTGGGCACGAAAGGGAGAAAGAGCGATAGAGAGAGAGAAAGCAATGCAGCTATGCATTTCATCGCCGATGTGCGCCGATGAGGAGTGTGCGGTATAAATAGTCCGGCGGTTCTGACCGGACTGTTTACACCTCCCACCGCCCTGACCGACAAACATCCGAGCGGACCTTTCAATTGCACACGCGCGGCGGCATGTCGCGCGTGATATCACTGCCGATATCCAAACAGCGGCCGTATTTATGGGAAGCGACGGCCGCGTCACGCCGTCCGGCTGACGGCAGCGATGCCATCGGATCAGATACGGGGTCGGGGCGTGCCGGCCGCGCGCCGCGCCGCGCCGCCGGGACCGGCGCGCGTGCCTCGGCGCCGCCACCGCGCCGCCGCCCGGTCAGGGTCGCCGCGCAGGGCGGACGCGTCGGCGGACCCGGCCGCACCTGCCGCAGAGCCGTCGGACCGCAGTGGCTTCTGTACGGCGGACGGTGTGGTCATTGTACGGGGCGTAGCTCGTGACGCCGCGGCGGCGGCGAGACGGCCGACAGACCTTTGCGCCACGCGGCCCGCCTACTTTGAAAGGCCGGCTGATCCGGCCGACGGTCGCCGCCGGCTCAGGCCGCCCTGGGCTTGACGTCAGCAGCGCCGGGGGCTAAGGTTGCCACACGCCTGTCACGCGCACGCAGTGTGCGCCGGTCCGGACGGGACAGCGCCGATCACGCCGGCGGAGCCACTCAGTGGGTCATCGCCGCGCACAATCTCTCTCTGGAATCGCTGTGTGGGGGAAGTGACGAGAACGCTCCAAAACGGGTTAGACCGGATCCGGTGGCGGCTGGCGGGACGGTCGCCGGCCGGCCGACCGGGCCCACCTACGGCGGCCCTCCCTCACGAGTCGACGGCGGGTGTCATCACCCGGGCGAGCGCCGCCGGCCGTCCACAGACCGAGCGGTGACCGCCCCTCCTCGCATACAGCCGGTGCGGACGCCGCCTGCCGGTCGTTGATCGCCGCAGCCGCCGCCGGCGTCACCGCCATCGGTTAGCATTAGCTGTCCGCGGAGTGCCAGGTAATGCCGACGTACTGTGCGGTCACCGTCGGCACGCTGCGAGCCATACAGGCCGCACGTCACGCCTCATCACAACCTGCAGCTACCGAGGAGCTCCCACAGACTATACAGCCGCCGCCGACCCGTGCCGCAAGCGGGGATCGGGGCCACCGCGATGATTCGTGATCAATGGGCTCCACCCGGCCGGCGGGCGCGCTGCCTTTTACGGCAAGGTCGGCGGCCGCGCGTGGGCCGGGCAGCCGGGCCCACACCCTCAGTCAGCCGCCGCCCACACCAAGCCGTCTGTCGGGCAGCGCCGCCCGCTGCCCAGCTCCGGCCGGGCAGCTGAGGGCAGCAGGAGGTCGGGCCTGGGCTGCCGGTGGCGGAGTTGGAGGGGGCGCCGCGGTGAAGGCAGGAACGGGGTATTAGGGAGGAGAGCGGGTGGTCACGCAAGTGCAACGCACGCAGTGGGCACCGAAGAGCCGTGTTTGGGCTATAAATCATTCTTTATCGCGTACAAACTGACACTGGAGACCTGGCATTTGAAAGTTATCTAAGGCTTGGTCAAAATGCCTGGCACGACGGCGCTCGTAACGTTTATATTCACTGGGCATGACGTCACGGTTGGGCAAGCTATCGGCTCTGAGCATACACTGCAACAGGTGTGTGACGGATGTACTCCTGCTTAGCGGCAGCCATCAGGTCGGCTGTTGCAACGAAGCGCTGAACTAAGTGGGTGCGATGACATAGTGCAGGGCGAATTAGCTCAGACGCCAAGGCCGACAGGAATGACGTATGAGCAGGCAACACCTTCGGATCGCTGCAGCCGCCTGCTTTCGCGTGCCGGAAATCAGTCGGTCAAATTAAAACTTGTGATTAGTTTTTCTACAATCGCGTATAAGCCTACGGCGCGTATACACATAAGCCGATGGCAAACTGAACTCATGAGATCAACAGGCACACTGGATTATCGTTACCACACCAATGCAGCTCGCACATCCACGCTTTGAACAGATGCACCCCCGGCCACTTTTGCACTTGTGCGGCTTTCCTAAAGGCACGGCTTCTCTGCGCGTTCTTCGACGCTATTGAACACCTCCATCCAGCGTGCAGTGGTTGGCCCCATTGTGGCCACCCTAAGGCCGCGCCGTTTGGCAGCTGGATGACAAGTGACAAGTGACAAGTGACGTGCCTCCTCAGCGGGAGCACGCATTTTACACCCCATCCGCACCTGTGCGGCGCAGCTCGCCGACAAACTGCGCTTGCCACGCTCTGGACGTGCTCTACAAATCAGCGCGGCGGCGGTGCCCGCTCCGCTACGGGCGGAGAGGGTGGCGCCGCCGAGGTAAGCTCCTCTCCCATTCGTCTGCCCAGGTGTCACGCGGGACGCTCCTGGTGTGCGCGTAAAAAGCCAGATGGCTGAGCACCCGCGCTCGGGGCGGGTCGCGCACGGGGCGCCTCGTCGTCCGCGCGGGCCCGATCGGAGCGCCGTTTTTGCCGCGAACACGCCGCCGTGCTCCTGTTGCTGTTCTCGTGGGGCGACCCGGAAGGTGTGAGAAATAGAGACGGAGGCTGCGGGCGGAGCTGGGGCGGGCGTTCACTCCTGACGGATGGCTTGTTTTTCCGGCGGGCGGCCGGCGGCGGCGGACCGAGCTGTGGGAGGGTCCCTGACGGGGCGCGGGCGGCGGCGGCGGCGGCGGCGTCGGCGGCGGCGGCGGCGGCGACGACGGCGGCAGCGGCGGCCGGCGGAGGACGTGGGAGAGGCCGGCCGTCGGCGCCGCGGCCCCTGTAGGCGGCAGAGGAACGCCTCGGCCGGCGAGGGCTGCTCGCTCCGGGGTGCCGGGGCGCGTGGGACGGCTCCGGAGCCGCGCCCGGCCGGCCGGCGGCCGAGCTCCAAACCCGGACCAATTACACCGCGCGGCCGCGGTCACTCCCCCGGAAATCGCGTGCATGAGATGGCGGCGGGCGATGATGCAGGCCGCGGAGCTGTCGACGTCACTCACAGCGCCCGGCATCCGCTTTCATCCCGGCCGGCCAACGGCTACTTGGTGTGCATTTGGGCCGTGATTGGTGTAGCTGCGTCCGTTGTTGGATGCGCCCCGCTAATTTATGGCGTCCATTCGATGAGTCGCTTCAGTCGCCCCTTGCAGCCGACCGTGGGAATATCTTTTGGTCGAAATCTGTGTGCAATCTTCGCCAAATTTATACCCACGTATTAAGCTGGCGTGGAGTCATGAAACTGAATTACCTCGTGAGCGCCGAGAGCCACTTGCCTTGGTGTTTGGGCCCTGATTCACTTCGTCACAGATTGGTTCAATCTCGGCTTCACGACCTGTTTAAGCAGCGGACTGCTTCTAAGGGTGCAATAAAGCTAAAAGTTAACAGTCACGCTAGGAGGTCTGGTTACCGTCACGAGGTGTTCGTTTGACACTCGAATGATAAGACAAGCATACCGCAGTCTAGAAACACTTCGGTAGTTATGTTAGGGCCTTACATCAGCATATGGTTGCAACGGTCATGTAAAGCTAAAAATTTGACATGTCAGACACTCTGGAAACACGTCGGGTGATAGCTATACAATGCTGCAATTTTGCACTGCACGCGCCCTAACAATGCGTATTTTCTAGTTTTCAATTTCATGCGCAGAAATACATGTTTGCCTACCAACTGATGCATGCATTTCGTATTCGGGCTACCAGCTCATTCGGACCGACCCAGCGCCCCCCCCCCCCCCCACCGCGGCGCGCCGGACGAATGTGAGGCATGGCATACCGGGGCAGCTTGCAGCTCCACCCCACCCCACCCCCGCCGCGGAACTCAGCGGACCCTACCGCTCCGGAAACCGGCGCGGACCGCGCGGGCTAACATCCGTGCCGCGTGATATCACGTGTTTATGTCGGGCCACGAACAGACGGTGCCAGGTTTCTGATTGGCCGATAAATGTATACATGCCTGGCAATATGGCGCGATACCCAATCGCCGAACGTGCGAGCAGGAACCATTGACTGGTAATTGACGTGCAGCCAATTCATTAGCGTTGGCGCAGTGAGAAAATGCTCGGCAAATGTGTCCGCGGCTGTCATGTTTCTGAACATCTGCAACCAGTTGTCGGGACGCGAAAGACAATTGCCGTACTAAAAAAGACAATTGCCGCACTAAAAACCAGTTTTCGTGGTTTCAACGGCGTGCTGGCAAAGGCTATTTCAATCGTTGATAGACACTGACAAATTGCCGCATTTCTGAAAGGTAGCTACCGCCATCCGACAGCATCAAGTTAATCCTTCTGAAAAAAAAAGTGATGAACGGCTCGCGGCTGCGGCTTAAACACCTTAATCATGACAGGAACTCCAAACATGCCGATAACATCTCGGCAAGTCTCATCCGGCGCCCATGGCGGCCGCTTACCACAGTGAGCGCGGAGGTGGTGGACTCCTCGAGGATCATCTCCTGGAGGGAGACCGGTGTGTGGATGGCGCCCTGGTCGTGGCAGTCGACGTAGAGGTGGACGCGGGCGGACGGCTGCTCCTGGTGCACCCGCAGCACCAGCGACTCGATGGTGTTGTGGTGCTGCACCGTTTCCACGGACCAGTGCTGCGTGCGCAGCCGTCCCTTCTCCATCGTCTGGAGGATCACTGGTGTCACGCGCAGTGTCAGCATTGAGCCGTGGGATTACTGGTACTGTGGAAAAGGCTACTTTGATCTCCTCGGGGATGCTACCATCATGATCGGTGTCAATATGGAGTCGTAAGGTCACTGACGCCATACACAAGGCTGATGTGAGGTCATAAGGTCACCAACGTCGTGAGCGGTCAGTGCGCCCCATAAAATCACTGGCGGTGTGAGCGGGGTCAAACTGGGCGGAGGAACAACTTATGTCACGGGAGCTGTGAGAATTATACCCTCTCTTGGGGTTACTGGCATCCAATGAGCGGTTGACATGCCTTCAGCGAACTAAGGAAGGCTTACATTGCCGACTAACTCTTACATCACCGGATGTCACGTGAACCTCAAAGCTCTTATTCCGCGTGCGAATTACACGGGAAAGTCATATCCCGTCGCATTGGCACCTCCGACTAACATTATTCCCGAGGTCAAGGCTGCATAAGATTGGTTCAAACCTTTCACACACGGCACGCGTCGCGCTAGTGGCAACGCTGGCAGTGATTTCTTGTCGTTGTTGAAACATCAGACGCTGCATTCCAGGGAAATTCACCTATTTCCAGGGCACTGACCCTTGACCCTTGCGGCTTGACTCGAGCAATGCTAAGCTTACGCATTCGACACGTTGGCTCTCGCTTGGGCGAACATTTCGCTCCGGCTAGGAAAATCATAGGGCACATCCCAGATGTGAATGTGTAAATGGCCCGTCAGATGCCAGCCTGGCTGCGCATGTTTTGCTTTAAATGGTATATATCACAATGTGATTGGGACTGACCTCCACCAAGCGAGCGCATGTCCCATTCATTCAATAGCGTTACGCGTGGACCAGATTTAAGGTGTTCGGAGTTAAAATCCTGGGCCTTTTGACGTCCAGGTGCTTGTTCAGCGCGTGCGGCAGGGGAAGCGACCATCGTCTTCATTCAAGGTGCACCCACCCCACCGAATACCCAACATAGGCCACGTTTTCAGCTAATCACACTGACCCGGAGAGGGACTGTAAATATAGATGCTTCTCCGAATAGAAGCTGTCTGAATGGACGCCGTCTGCAGCATTGGTAGGGCCACGAGCGGTGTGCGAGCGGCCCATGGCAGCTTAATGATGCTACAAGGAGCGTGATAGTGATACGGTTGCGTTCCGCCGGACCGCTGGCGTCATGTTTACAGTTAGAGTGACCTCATCGTCTGGAGCATCAATTGGAACACATTTAGTGTTAAATGACTTCATTAGCTGCACATAACTGCAAGCACACCCCGTCGGGAGCCCATCTCCGTATCTCTGCAATGGCTCATGCGAAGGTCATCTCTGTGACTTTCCGGTGGTCAAGGGGCAGGTCACCCGATGTTCCCCTAGGTGGTCCAGGGAGAGGTCAGCTCCCATCTCCCTAGTGGTCCAAGGACAGGCAAGCTTTCCAGTGATCCAGGGCCGGGTTACTCCGTGCCTCCCCGGTGATCCAAGTCAGGTCAGTTTCATGCCTCCCCGGTGGTCCAGCGACAGGTCAGCTTCGTGCCTCCCCGGTGATCCAAGTCAGGTCAGTGTCATGCCTCCCCGGTGGTCCAGCGACTGGCCAGCTCTTGGCCTCTCCGCTGGTGGTCGGCGCCTGTCGCCGGGCCAGAGCGGCGATAACGTGCCTATATGAGCTGCAGTAAGCCGGCCGGGGCGCGGTCCTTCGATGGACCGATACGGGGCGCCATGTGAGCCGGACTGGAGCGGGGCGTGGCCGTGGACCAACACATGGCGCCAGGTGAGTCGGACTGGAGCGGGGCGTGGCCGTGGACCAACACATGGCGCCAGGTGAGCCGGACTGGAGCGGGGCGTGGCCGTGGACCAACACATGGCACCAGGTGAGCCGGAATGGAGCTGGGCGTGGCCGTGAACCAACACATGGCGCCAGGTGGCCCGGACTGGAGCGGGGCGTGGCCGTGGACCAACACATGGCGCCAGGTGAGCCGGAATGGAGCGGGGCGTGGCCGTGAACCAACACATGGCGCCAGGTGGCCCGGACTGGAGCGGGGCGTGGCCGTGGACCAACACATGGCGCCAGGTGAGCCGGATTGGAGCGGGGCGTGGCCGTGGACCAACACATGGCGCCAGGTGACCCGGGCTGGGGCGGGATGTGACAGAAGACCGATACAAATGCAAAGCGCCAGATAACCATATTCGAGAGGGGGGAGGGGGCGTGACAGATGACTAGGATTAGAGGGGGGAGGGGGGGGGGGGGGGGTGAAAGAGGACGGATACAAGGCGCCAGGTAATATCCTGGTCGGAAGGGAGAGGACCAATGCAAGGAGACAGGCGACCCGATGCCACGCGGAACGCGACCTTCGACGCCGCAGCCCGCCGACCCGCACCTGCGTCCAGGGTCAAGCCAGCAAAAAAGAGCGACTGTAGCGGACAGCTTACCAATGAGGCGGCGACCAAAGGGGACCACCTGCCGCTGAGAAGGCGATTAGAGTCGCTCGCTCGTCACCAAGACTGTGACTTGGGCTGTCACTGAGGCTGCCAGTGAGGTGGATCAAAAGTCGCTCCATCACTGTCCCGCCTCACCACCCCACGGCTGTCTCGATGTTGACTAAACCATCACTCACTGAGCCAGTGTCCGAGGTGGGCCGCTTGTTACTGACACTGTGAGTGAGGTGTGCCACCAGTCACTGAGACAGGGCCTGGGTGGGCCATGGAAGTAACTGTGGGGGACGACTCGTCATTGAGTAGTGTGTTCAAGGTGGGTCTCTGATCACTAAGACAGGTGGCTAAGGTGGAGAGCCTGTCACTGAGACTGAAACTGGAGACTGAACCAAATCACCCCGTCCACTGAGACCATGACTGAGGTGGACAAATCGCGCTGAGGACTTGAAACTGAGACTGACCCAAATCACCCGTCACTGAACATGACTGAGGTGAGGACAAATCGTCGCTGAGACTGAAAATGAGACTGAACCAAATCACCGTCACTGAGACCATGACTGGAGTGAAAAATAGTAGCTGAGACCTTGCCGGAGGAGGACAACCTATGACTGACAACTGCCCGACATGGGCAGCGACAGCGTGGTATGCTAGTCACAGGAAACAGCGACCAGGTGGTCACATTATGAGACATGACGAGGCGCATCACTTGCGACTGACACTGAACTCCTCCGTCTGCATCGCTCTCCTCATGGGCGTGCTCCAGCACATCAACACCAACAGCCTAACCTATGATTGAAGCCAGATCAAGATGCACTGCACCGCATCCCACCGCTCAGCTGACTGTTTAGCTAGCGTGTCGAGCTGACCAACAAACACGTGAATCAAACACGGCTCCATCATCGCGCTACCGACGGCACCGCTGAATCGAGGATGCTTAAAAGCCCACACGCCCCGAAGCTGGCTTTGAAGACGTCCTTCAGCAGCACGTCAGGCTGTGAATGACCACCGTGCCTTCGGAAAGTGACCCACCTTTGTGCATCTTCCTGTCCAGGATGATGGACATCTTGTTGCGACTGCCGGTGACGTCAATCTCCACCAGGGTCTGCGGATGCGTCCGGGCGAACCGCTTCGCCTTAACGTTCTTGAGGACGATGTAAAACTCGTCGTTCATCACCTCCTTCTGAAGGTCCCTCGTCAACTCTGAAAACGGTGGGGTGCTTCCATTAGGATGTGTCAAAGGGTGCATCCAGTGAAACAAGCGCTGACAAGCACGAGGTTTGTTCCAAGTGATGGTTTATTCAGACTTCCGATCTGTATGTTGGCTAGATTGGGGCCAATGCATCACGTAGTGACTTTTAACAATTGCGTGATCTGATCGCGTGATTGTGTCATTGTTTACTGAGATTCATCTCTGATTGTGTTCACCGGGTCAAGACCAAAGCCAACGTTCAGCGACCTATTCAGCTGCATTCAGAGCTGAAGCACCATCTGGACATTCCCGCGTGGAAGGATTTCAGAGGGGCATAGCATGTCTCCTGTAGAGCTGGACGATCCGTTCAGCCGGCTTGAAAACAACACACCTTTGCAAGCCCTCGACGCGGCCCTAAACGCAAAGCACTTTGTGTGGACTGAATGGCATAATAATTGCCGCCGTCCTGGCATGAAAGGATACAAGCCGGTCCTTGTAAGTCACGCCCAAATAAGGTTGAATCCCAGACTGTGTGACCTTATTCTTCTAGCCGTCTTTGGTGGAAACTCCGAACCCCTTACCGTTTGCATCGCCGTCCGCCGCATGTCCCAAATTATTAAAAATAGAAATATCTCGCACAAAAACCTGACGTCCGCGACCATAAACAAAGTTAGCTCGCAATCAGGCAGCGCAACCCAGAGTCTCAGTGTCACAGTGACAGTCACACTGCAGTGTTGAATGTGCATACACCTTCCAAAATCCAGGCCAATTCGAAGTCCGGTATGGCTAAAAGACTGGGTCATTATGTTTCAGGCCAGAATTGTACCACAGCAATGTCCGGCTCTCATTGTGCAAAACAACACCAGACTCTTAAAATCTACACTTTTCTAGCCCCAAATACCGATGTCCTGGCGTTAAGCGCTGCCCTGCCTTCAGATCCACTCTCCAAACCCTGACCTGGTCTTTCAAACACCGGAAGCGAACCGCGTTATTGATCGCTCCCCCGAGACCTGCCGCCCCGAAGCCGTCGATCCGCGCCCCGCACTAATCACAAACACATCACTTCTAATGCCGCTGCGCCGGGCCGGCGGCAGGCAAACATCGGCCGCCCGGCTGTCGTCGGGCGGCCGGCGCGCGCCGCCGGACCGGTGTTAGCGCTCGAGTCCGAGGTCGCGACTGGGTCACTGCCTGTGGTCTCACGCAGCACCGCGGACCGTGCTCCATTTCACGCCGGGAATGAGAAAAGCCGCCCCGTCGCACCGGCACAAAGGATGTTGTGACGACCGTCGCCGCGTCTGCCGGCGTGGTCCTGCCAAGCCGGCGTCGTGTCCGTGTGCTGAAGAAAGCCAGCGTCGCGCTGCGGCTGGCGGCGCGCGACGCCGGCCACCGCCGCTTCACACCGCGGCACTCAGGGGTCGCCGTGCACCCCGCCGCAAGGCGACCCCCTGCGGGAGACACTACCACCTCCGCTCCCCAGAGCCGGACGTTTCACCGGGACGCCGTTCAGCCTGCGGGGCGCGGCCGGACTTGTGCGCAGACGGGCTGCGGGGGCGCCGGCCGTCTGCGGGACGCGGTCGGACTCTGGCGCAGACGGATCTGCAGGGGCACCGGCCGGGTGTGGCTCGCTCCGCCGATCGTGACCCCAGCTCCTCATCCGACCCGGACCGCCAAGTGTTCGCACGCGGCGCTCACCGGGATGCGGCGGCTAACCAGATGGGCGCCGCATGCCGACGGCATGCAGAGCGATCCTGAGCATCGAGGACGCGGCGACCAGACGGCCGCGCATCACCTGACAGTGACCTATCAGACGGCCGCGCGTTGCCTGACGGTGACCTATCAGACGGCCGCGCGTTACCTGACGGTGACCTCGCAGCCGGCCGCGCGTTACCTGGCGGTGACCTATCAGACGGCCAATCAGCCCCAACAATAGGCTGAGGGCGGACGTGGCTGGGATGTCGGGCGAGTAATCACGTCTTCCCTGCGGTTTGTGCACGCCAAGTGCCATTTCACTGTGTACAAAGCACGCAGTGGATAACGTCACGCAGCGAGAGATGCCTCCTAATGCCGCCCGATCCAATCAGAGCCATGTTGCGCCACTCGAGTGGCTTTCCATCATCCTACCCGCAATTGTAATCAGCGGTGTGGTTGCTCATGCACCTGAGTTATGCACTCCATTCGGCTGGCGCGATGCAGACGGACGCCGGCAGGCCGCCGCCAGCCATTGGCGCTGCGTGTGAGCAGTGCTATGTCGCGATAAGAGCGGTCGGAACGACTGAAGCTAACCTTGGGTCGCCGTGGGTATCGTGCTCAGCAAGGCTATCATACGGATCGAACCCCGCGACAAAGACGGCCAGCCAAAAGGAGACAACTTTGACCACGGAGAGCGCCCGATAAAAAGGACGGCCAAAGTGTCGCTGGCATTATCACCGAGGCGGTGTGAAATCCTGATACAGTGAGTTACATTTCCTTAAAGGGCCTTTGTTCGTAACAAGAAATGCATATCGTTCGTATTAAGCCAAGCTGAAAACCAGACACGCAAAAAGTACCCGAGGTTTGAGTCAACACCAGTTGGCGTACACATGCACGTCACGTAAGGCTCCACTTGTCGCAGTTTGCCTCGGAACAGGCCACCATGAGTCACTCGCGACCAAGCGGGTGCGAGCGGCACCTTACCCGCCCGTCCGCGGCGCCCAGGTCAGCGGGGGACTAGCCTCAGCTCACCGCCGGGATCGTGCGACACACCAGCTCCGCACTCAAGCCTGTCAATCGAGGGTGGCACAGGGACGCCTGGCGCCGGTCGGCCCCCTGACGGCGACCGCAGCGGACCCTGGGACACCCTGAGCGGCGGCGGGGTGAGGGACGCCGCGGCGCCAGACCGAGAGGAGCGGCGCGAGGTCAGCAGTCAGCCCCGGGCGTGGGGCATGGGTGGGCGGGGGGACCCCGGCAGCCTGGCGCCGGCGACGCTGCTGCGGGTCATCGAACTGCCACCGGCAAACATGTCCGTGAGATGTGCGAACGCCTCCGCGTCGGGGGCAATGCAGGTGCAAGTAACGCGTCTGAGGAAAGAACGGTGACGGAAGTAGAACCTCAAGCGTACGGTCCCTGGACTGGGTTTGGAGCGGGACACCCCTCGCTCTCCACCCACGCCACCGACACCCCCAGCCCGCCCCTGCAGCGATTCCATGTATATTTGATGTGCGCCACCGAGACGGGAGCACGCCCAGGACGGCGGCAGGACGCGGGCGAGCGCATCACATGAGCGCGCCTTTTTGTGGGCTCCCCGGCCGGCGTCCGGCGGCCGGCCGCGGTGCACGGGCACGCACATGGGAGGAGCCGCCCACGCGCCTGCCATTGCCGATCGCTCGAGCCCGGCAATGGCTCCGGGAACAGCTGGAGGCCGGGCAATGACTGAGGCAGCATCTGGAGGCGGCACTCGATCTGGCGTTTTTTGGGAGAGCACAACAAACATCCCTCTGTCCTAGGCCCGGAGCAAGCCGATGTATTTCTGAAACAAGGGAGCCGCCGACACCTCTCAGACATGCACAGCGTGACGGCGGCGGCTTTACAGTCCTCCGTCGTTGTGACGGCCATTGTAATTCTGGCGGAGTTACGTTAACTTTGAGCAGCGTAGCAGCGCAGTTCTGAGAGTAAACAAGCGGCCCGGCTCTACGAAAGCAGCGCTCGCATCATGTGCCCCTCACTACCAGCATACAACACTCACAGTACGTGCTGCGGCTCTGCCCCGCGGTTGACGAAATGGAGACGTGACGCAATGTCGGCATGTCCGGATGGCGCGGGACCCGGTGCGGCGTGAGCTTGTGAAAGACTCGGCGGATCATGCATATACAGCTGTGTCTCGGGAACGGGGGGTCAGAGTCCACCTTCCTAAGTGACGAAGATTGATAGAAATGGAGCAATACCTCAGTCAATCAGACTAACGATGGAACAAGTTGAACATTGAATAGGAACATTGCTAAACAAGAGTTCAGCAATGCATTTTCTAACTGACTGCAAAGCAAATAGGCTGACTGATGCCAGAAATTCCAGCGGTCGCTTGAAAAAACAGCTGGGCGTATGCACAGTTTGCGCAACTGCATCAAGTGTTCTGGTTTCACCGTTCTGTGCTTAAATGTCAAGATCCGGGTCCGGTGCATAAATCTGACGTGGCCGTGCGTCACGGTGGTGTCGTCTCCGTCACGGCGGTGTCGTCTCCGTCACGGCGGTGCCATCTCCGCCACGGCGGCCGCGCTGGTCGGCTGCCGTCACCGGAGGCTTCGGCGGGGCAGGGTGCGGTACGTCGGGCTTCGGCGGGGCAGGGTGAGGTACGTCAGGCTCCGGCGGGGCAGGGTGCGGTACGTCAGGCTTCGGCGGGGCAGGGTGCGGTACGTCAGGCTTCGGCGGGGCAGGGTGCGGTACGTCGGGCTTCGGCGGGGCAGGGTGCGGTACGTCGGGCTTCGGCGGGGCAGGGTGCGGTACATCGGGCTTCGGCGGGGCAGGGTGCGGTACGTCGGGATTCGGCGGGGCAGGGTGCGGTACGTCGGGCTTCGGCGGGGCAGGGTGCGGTACGTCGGGCCGCTGCAGATCACCCCAGACTACCGCGGATGCCTTCGGGCGTCAGCAGACCGCGCCGAGTCGTATGAGCCGGTGCCGAGCCAGATACAATGCTATGCGGCATAACTAAAGGCTACACATATCACAGCAGATCATACCATACCAGACCAACCTTACCAGACAACATGGAGCCATAGTTGACCGCATCAAACTATCGGGTCGTTCGATAATAATGCATGCCTCGTCAAACGAACCCAGCAAGACAGTTGTCATCAAACGGTCAGTTTTGGCACGAGTGTCTCGTGAGCCTGCTGTTGCTATTTTTGTTTATTGGGCGGCAGAGATCCATTCGCACGTGTCCATTCATTATGCGGCAAATGACCTCGAAGTAAAATATTTGGAAACACGAGGACGAATGCCAAAAGCTATCAGAATCCACCAGCAAACACGTGTCGGGAGT